TAAACAAGGATCACCTTATATTTCTCACATTCTGTATATCATTCCTGTTCATTTCTGGTTGGACATTTTTTTTTTCCAGAATAAACTGATGGAGGAGGAGACTTTTTTTTTTTAGGAAGGAATTTTTTTTTATTTTTTAACTATGTTTTTTATTGATTTTTAGAGAGAGAGGAAGGGAGAGGGAGATAGAAACATCAGTCCATGGGACGATGCTCAGTCCACTGAGCCATACTGGCTGGGCAAGGAATATGTATTTTTGATACATCTTTATTGTTGAAAGTATTAAAAATGTCCCTCCTTCCCCCCATTGACATCCCCCTCCCCACTCTTGCCCCTGCCCCACCTCTGCCTTCACTGCATTGTTGCCTGTGTCTGTTGGTTATGCATACAAGTTCTTTGGTTTATCTCTTCCTGCCCTGCAGTGTACTAGAGTTCCCTTTTCTCCACACCCTCTCCAGCACTTTTTGTTTGATGATTTGTTGATGGCAGCCATTCTGGCAGGTGTGAGGTGATGTCTCATAGTCATTTTAATTTGCATCTCTCTGGTGAACATTTTTTTTATATGTCTCTTGGCCATTTTATAGTTTTTTTTCTCTTAATTCCAAGTGCATGGTTTTGATTCGTAATTTGAAGAGTCACAGTGGTGGTTTACTTTAGGGAAGGCAGAGAGGGTTGTTAAGAACACTAGAGTTCATCTGAAGAATGTTGGTAGTTTGTAAAGAATAAGAAGACTCCATAGATCACGTTTTCTATTTTCTTTGCAGTTAAGAGGTACAACCAGTCTGGCTTGTTATTTTATGTTTTTGTTAATCCTTACCCAAGGATATTTTTCCATTGATTTTTTTTTTTTTTTTAGATGAGGGAGGGAGGAGGGAGAGAGAGAGAGAGAAACAGACAAACATTGATTGAGTGTCTCCCACATGATTCTGACCAGGGCGAGATATCGAACCTGCAACCCAGGTACATACCCTTGACCAGGCATCAGACCCATGACCCCTCGGTTTGACACTCTAACCGCTGAGCCAAACCTGCCAGGGCTGGCGTGTTGTTTTTAAAGGATGAAAGCAGCTAAACTCTATTTCCGTATCTTTATCAGATCAGCAAATACTTTTTGAAAATATTGTCAGCTGTCTGAGTAGAAATTATAATGGAAGGAAAAGCATTTTATAAGCATTAGCAATTGTACTGGATGGTTGTATTAAGGATAAGTATCAGTCAGCTTCCGGTCAAGACGATGGCACAGGTAAACATGGTACTCGCCTCCTCTCACAACCACATCAAAATTACAACTAAAGTACAGAACAGCCATCCTTCAGAACCACCTGAAATCAAGCTGAATGGAAGTCCTACAACTACAAAATTAAAGAAGCAGCCACATCGAGACTGGTAGGAGGGGCGGAGGTAGACGGGCTGGTCCCACACCCACGTGTGGTGGATAAAAATCAGGAGAGAGACCTCAGTTGTGAAGGTCCTCCTTGAGGAGTGACAGGTCCCGGTCCCACACCAGGCACCCAGCTCAGGGTTCCAGTGCCAGTCAGGGAAGTCTGTAAAAACCAGTGGGAACTGAGGCTGAGGGAGGTAAGGCTGCTGGAGCCCCAGGCAGCTCCTCTTCAAGGGCCTGTGCACAGACTTACTCGGACCAGCTCTCTCTGAGCTCCAGCATGGAGAGGGGAGGCAGCTTGAAAGGCAGCAGACACATATGGGGAAGAACTGAATTGTTTGGCATCGGGGTAAGGACTGGAGCGGCAGCTTTCTCCTAGGCAGACATTCTGGTGGAGGCCTTGTTTCTTCGGTGAGCCCTTCCCCCACAGGGCAGGCAGACGGCTGCCATTTCTGGCACTCCAACAGCCTGGCTCACACTGTGTGCCCCGCCCTGGTGATTCCCTGAGGCCCTGCCCCACTCAACTTTCTGGCCCACCCAAATTGTTACCAGTGGCTTTACCATAGGATTGGCCTGTTTGGGCTCTTGCTTCATATTTTCATAAATTCTCTCAAGCAGCATCTGGCCACAGTGAGTCCCATACCTCTTGCTAAGGTGTCCCAGGTCAGGCACTAGAAGCAGCCAGCCTTGGTTCACAGCTTGGCTTCACCTGGAAGTGTCTCCCACATGATTCTGACCAGGGCGAGATATCGAACCTGCAACCCAGGTACATACCCTTGACCAGGCACAAGAAACAGCCATCTGCAGATCGCTTTGTAGCTTATGCCTGGTGGCCCTGGGTAGGACACAGGCAGTGGCTACCTTGCCCCAGAGCCAGCACACCCAGTAGACAGCTTCAAACCACATCAAAGCACCACCACCGAACCACCTCCACAAGTGACACACTTGAGGAACGGACTTGGGGCACCAGAGCACTGCTGAAGTAAGTCTTGCTCTGTGTGGTGAGCCCTTGCACAGCCAGTCATCCAAGGTAGAGGTTGGTGGTTAGTGGGCACAGCCAGTCCTTGCAGCTGACCAGCCTGAGTAAACCTTCCCACTGATGTGCCACCACCAATCAAGACTCAATTACAACAGAAGGATATAAAAGTCCACACAAGAAGTGTACCTTGAGGGCCCAGCTGGGTGATCAGGGAGGCTGTGCCACTGGACCTACAGGACACCTACTACAACAGGCCATCCTAGGAAGTCTTGGTGACATAGAAACTCTACCTAATACATAGAAACAAACACAGGGAGACAGCCAAAATGAGGAGACAAAGAAACATGTCCCAAATGAAAGAACAGAACAAAACTCCAGGAAAAGAACTGAATGAAATGGAGATAAGCAATCTAACAGATGCAGAATTCAAAACATTGCTTATAAGGACACTCGGTGAACTTAGCGAGGGCCTCAAGAGCATAATAAAGGACTAGTCAGAAAAAAAAAATGTCCAACCAGAAATGAACAGGAATGATATACAGAATGTGAGAAATATAAGGTGATCCTTGTTTAGGTCTCTTTCTTTTGCATCTACAAAAATTTCAAACATAGAAAGCAGAGGGAAACGAACACCTAATAAAATGACTGATAATTCTTTAATATCTGTGAATACCTAAATCCATACACGAATTCTCTAGTTATTAAAAAAAAAAAAAAGACTTTTATACCTGGTTTGCACTAATCAGGACCCAATTGAGGCCCCACCCTCAATTTTATCATGATTCCTCTCTATTTTATGACACTGACTTGAAGAGACCAAGCCTGCACTAACTGAAATAAAGAATACAGAGAATCAGTAGTAGAGTAGGTGAAGCCAAGAAGCAAACCATCGATTTGGAATGTAAGGAAGCAAAAAACACCCAATCAGAACAGCAAAAAGAACAAACAATCCAAAAAAAATGAGGATAGTATAAGGAGCCTGTGGGACAACTTCAAGTGTGCCAACATTCCCGTCATGGGAGTGCCAGAAGGAGAAGAGAGGGCAAGAAATTGAAAACCTTTTTGTAAAAATAATGACTGAAAACTTTCCTAACTTGGTGAAGGAAAGAGACATACAAGTCTAGGAAGCACAGAGTGTTCCAAACAAGATGAACCCAAAGAGGTCCACATCAAGGCACATTATCATCAAAATGCCAAAGGTTAAAGACAGAGAATCTTGAAGAAGAAGATTAAAAAATATGAACAATAAAATGGCAATAAATACATATCTATCAGCAATTGAATCTGCAAACAAAATGAGCAAGCAGATCAGAAACAGACTCATAGATACAGAGAATTTTTTTGGTTGCCAAATGGAAGGGGAGTTGGGTGAAAAAGATGGAAGGATTAAGAAGTACAAATTGGTTGTTAGACTGATGAACCTCAAAGTGAAGGAGGGAGGTGGGGTGGGAAGAGAGAAACCAGAGAACTTATATGCATTTTTCATAACCAATAGACACAGACAGTAGTGTGGGGAAAGCAGGAGGGAGTTTGGGGGGGTGGTGAAGAGGGACATCTGTAATACATTCAACAATAAAGATAAGTTTAAGCCCTGGCCGGTTTAGCTCAGCGGTTAGAGCGTCGGCCTGCGGTCCCGAGAGACCCAGGTTCAGTTCCCACTGAGGGCATGTACTTCGGTTGCAGTTTGTCCCCGGCCCTGGTTGGTCGTGCGGGTGGCAGCCACTCAGTGTGTCCCTTTCACATCGATGTTTCTCTCTCTCTCTCTTTTCCTCTCTCTTCCTCCCACTCTATCTGTACAAAAAATGGAAAAATGTCCTTGGGTGAGGATAAAAAAAAAAAAGATAAGTTTAAAAAAAATCACTACCATCAAAAAAAAATTAGGTGTCACCCAAGCGGTGTGGCTTAGTGGATTCAGCATCGATCCATGGACTGAGAGGTCCCGGTTTGATTCTTGGTCAGGGCACATGCCTGGGTTGTAGGCTGGATCCCTGTGCAGGAGGCAGCCAGTTGATGTTAGCGGTCTCACACTGATGTTTCTCTCTCTCTCTCGCTCTCTCTCTCTCCCCCCCCTTCCTCTCTCTTAAAAAAAAAATCAATAAAAACATTTTTTAAAAATAAGTGTTGTATTAATTTTTAGGACAGGTAATGAATACTATAAGTATTGTCCTTCTGGTCACAAGATCATGAAATTCAGAGGGTGACTCTCATTATTCTTCTGCACCAGATATTTTTCAGTTATGTGAACCATATGAAATTGACAATGTTTGGCCATTTAGACCTACAGAAACAATAGCTTCATATGGTTTAACCTAATATAATACATAGCTTTTTCTATATTTTTATATATTGTAGAATGAGTTGGGTTTGGGTTACTACAGTTAAGATTAAGCATCATTTTCTTGCTGTGAGACAATCATACACAAGCGAACTTGAATCAGCCTTGCTTCTCAGTTGGTTTATTTCTTTGCTTCTTTATCTTTCTTAAAAGTCTCTGATAAATTAAAGAGAACCACACCAGCTGCCTTCTCTCTGTGGCTGATACTATCCATCAACTTTAACATTAGTTTGAAAAATAATTAATGAACATGAATTGGAACTCTAAAAGCTTATTAAAATGTTTATTAATTTGTTTTATTTTAGTCTCAGATGCAAACATCAGTGGGAATTGTACCCACACAAGCAATTGCAACGGGCCCCACTGCAGATCCTGAAAAACGCAAACTGATACAGCAGCAGCTGGTTCTACTGCTTCACGCTCATAAATGTCAGAGACGAGAACAAGCAAACGGAGAGGTTCGGGCCTGCTCTCTCCCACATTGTCGAACTATGAAAAATGTTTTGAATCACATGACACACTGTCAGGCTGGGAAAGCCTGTCAAGGTAAGTGCCATTTTCTGAATTCCTACTGGCAACGCTTTGGATGAAATTTGTCCTTGTTATTAGGCAGCTCTCTTGTTATAAGGTTCTTGCAATCTCTATCTTCACACACCATCCAGTCAGATGCCACTGGAACACTTAACTGCTGAAGAGAAAGGCGATTTGGTTTTATAATAATATTCTGTGACTTTATACTAGATGAGGCTGTGCATTGCATTTGTTCTTTTCCTCCTTCCTCTGTCACAGAAGACACGTGTCACTTCTTAAGCACAGTCTTCATTATAAATGTCTATAGCATGGTTCTCTTTTGGGCAGGGTAGCGCACACATGCATGCACACACCCTTTTCGCACCAAGAGCATCTCTCTTGCAGCTGTGTCGTGTTCAGACTGCCAGGGCCCACTGCCTTGCTCTTCCACACTTGCGTCTTGAAGCTAATCAGGATACCAGGGAAGTTGTCCTGGGAACTGTGTGCACCGTATCATCTCTGCCACCTCCCTCCCCTCAAGGAGGTGGTGACTCCGGCACATCATGTGCCCCCCTTCCCCCTCTTCTATGGCAGACCCCTTGATTCTACCAAAGAAAGTGTTTCTTACTAACTACTATACTTTCCGCTAATCTTGACCCTCTTTCTTTTTCTTTCTTGTGCTCCTAAACCTTGGGGAGAATCTCTCCCTGATCTCCCTCTCTCCCTTTGTGACATTTGTGAGTCCCCAGCATAACCCTTACCCTGATGGAGAAGCCGAAAAGGGTTATGTCACCTTTAGAAAGAAATCGCAATGCCTTCGTATGGAAGCGAAGATAAAGACTGAGAATAATCAGGTTTAATTACCCTCTCAAGTACTTTGAAGGAGGCCAGGCCTCCTTCAGAATCTCCACAGACTTCTCATTTGCTTCTCTATCTGTATTTCTTCAATAAGAGTATTTAGATGGTTTCATCCTTAAACATAATGTAACATTTTTATTTTATATAGTGATAGTACAGAATTATTCTACCTTTCCTTCCAGTTGTTTGGTACTTCAGGTCAAAAAGCTTTTGTTTTGTTTTTGTTTTGTGAGCTGAACCTTAATCACCATCATTCATAACATTGCTTCTATGGGAAGTTTTTGTTTGGAATTCTCAACAGTCGACTTACAAACCTTTTGGAAAACTGCCTGTTTGTAAGTTGAGGACTGCCTGTACTGTGTAATGGTTACCCTTGTTACCATTTTCTTATGGAACCTGGCATTATAATTTAGGTGTAATTGAAAGTGTGACGATTTGGATAGAAAAATAACATCTCGTTGTTTTTCTGGTCATAGTTGCCCATTGTGCATCTTCACGACAAATCATCTCTCATTGGAAGAACTGCACACGACATGACTGCCCTGTTTGCCTCCCTTTGAAAAATGCCAGTGACAAGCGAAACCAACAAAGTAAGTGAGCATTGGGGGTAGAGAAGCTTGGAGATGAGAAAATAAGCTATTTCTGAAGAGAATACAGAAGCATAGGTAGGAAGCAGGGCAGAAATTATGAACCACAAAGTATAGTAGCAAGTAAAGACATACAGTGACAAAGGATGAAGCAAAGCTTAGTGAGTGGACAGATTCTCATTGTGCTCAGTGGGCGTGGTCATTTTGGAATTTCATTCCCTGCCACCACCACCCCTTTGTGTTAGAATTGGCAGCAGTGGAGCAGTGGAAGAGAGGATCATCACCAACTGGACCACTCTTCCTATTTCTTGACAGATACTCAGTATCTGAGGATTTGAATGTTGCGTCATTATAATTGCAGTGACTTTGGGGGTGGGGCAGGGGAAATAGAGGGATGCTTCTTTTGGAATCGGAATCCTCTTATCCTAAAGTAAATTTGGGGTCTGTGTCATAGACGAGTCAGTCAGGCCGGGTCAGTATAGAATCCCACATGTAGACATTTGGGAAGTTTCCATCCTCCATGGAGCTGCAATTCCCAGTCCTATTTACATAACCAATAATTTATTCAGTACAGATTGAGAGTCTGCCCCAGACTGGCCGCATTCTGATCATTCCCATTGTTTTGCCTTCTTTGGCTTCATCTGTGTAGCCTTTAGCTGATTGATCCATTAAGCAGTGATCCCTGTTCAGGAGGCTTGTGTGTGGCTCCCAGGGGTTCCCTGTAGCCATCAGAGCAGTGAAAAGATGAGCATCTCTTCCCAATTTCAAGTCATTTCCTGTCATTTTAGAGGTAAAATTGTGGTCTTGGGTGTGTCCCTGAGTTTGGACAGATAGAATGTGCTCTTTGATATCATGTCTGACTGGAGCTGCTCCCTGTGACTTTGAGCACAGCATAGTCTTTCTAGTCTTTCTCCATCTTGTCAATGCCATCTTGCCACCCTCCCCTGTTTGTGGTTACGTGTTCATTACTCTCATTCTTCGTGATCATCTTCATGACCCCATTGCTACCTGGAGAATGTTTGCTGCTTTTCTTTCTGGTTGTTTGCGAGTGGCACAAGGAAAGATGGAAAAGCACATTGTTCCTATGTGTCAGGGAGTGGAGCACCGGTGATACCCATGTGCTTTTCCTTTAAGTCCAACTCGCCTCCATCCTGAGAGGATGCCTAGTGTGCTGACTCTGCTCAACAGTGTCCATGTCACATAGGAGAGACATTCTGGGGTCATGGGCCTGTTAGTGGCCTTTCCTCTCCACAGGAGTCATACTTAAGTTTCCTTTCAAAGTCACTTTCCAAAATAAGTTAAATTATGTTTTGATGACCAAAGTTTGAATTAATAACAATTTTTCTGGATATATCTTATATAAAGTGAAAGTCTAGGAATCTGGGTCTTCTAGAACACAAGATATTTGGGACAGGATGTGAGGGCGATCTGGCTGCGACATCTGTCACCCCATTGATCGCCAGGGTTGATTCGGCTGATCTGGCTGGCTAGGCGGGTGTCCCCCTCCTCCCTCAACCGATCCATGTTCGTCCCTCCCGAAGCTGCACGCTCGGTCGAAGAGGTCGACCTTCCCCCCAGAGGAGAGGACCGGTCTTCGGTCAAGGGTATATGAGTAGCTGCGCTCCCCTGCTAGAACCTCCAAACAAGCTCTCAAGATATTTGGGACAGTAGTTCTAAAAGAATATAGTCTGTTTTTCCTCCAAGTTAGTATAAAGCCATTTTTTAAACTATTATATTGTGATGGTTATAATTTCTTGTGTTTTAGGAAGCATTTCAGTAATAGGTTTTTTAAGGGCTAAAATTCATTGTCAGGTTTGTAGTTGTACAGTATTAATTCTGTGAATATTGAGCTAAAGACTTCATTCTGAACTTTTAATTTAGAGGTATGGCTTTTCTGGGACCTTTTTGTTTTTAGTATATATCACCATGACGATTGTAAACTTTTAGGATTTCTCTTTTTAAGAAACACTTATGTGGTTTTCGTTTTTAAAAAACTGTATGTGGTTTTGTGTGTGTGTATGTTAAACATCCTTGTAACTGCCTGGCTGTTGTGACAATTAATCCGGTGCGTGCTCTCTGAAGTGGTAAACCACAGTGTTTCTACTAGTCATAATGTAAGGTGTTACCAGGACGATTTTATAATGTAAAGTCATGGAGCATATTTAGATTAACTTTGTGCAAAATTTTAGTAATTTTCATGAAAGAAATAAAAGCTTCTATTTAGAAAATTATTGAATGCTTCTCAGATTAAGTTTCAACTTTGAGTGTGTTCCTTTGGCTGTAACAGTAGTTTTGTGAGTATAGAAGAGTTTGATGTAAGTGAGAAAGTTTCAGTGATATCTTTCCTGTAAATGTTTGTTGGTGTTTTTCGACTCTCTTAAAACAAATTGTGCTTACCATGTGTGTAATAGAGAAGAAATGTGTATTCGACCTTCTAGTACCTTAAAGTCGGGTTCCAGAGTCAGAATATCTACATTAAAATGATGTGATGATGATATCACTCGCAGGTACCAAGGCAGAAAGAAGTCACTAGTATTAGCAATCCTGGAGGAGAGGATCAGAGTTTGCTGGGAGAGTAAGGCTTGATGGAACCCAATTTCAGTAAAGTAACAATAGAAGAACATTCTAGATAGCACAGTGTTAGCACAGCTGACATGCCTGTAAGGGCAGGATCTGACAGGACTCAGAGGTTCCTGTGCAAACGAGGTAATTCAGGGAGAGAGGGACTATTTGTACCTAGGTGGTGAGGCCCCCTGGGGGACTGTCTCAGACCCAACTCTGCCCACTTGTGGAGCATGTGCCCTGTGACACCAAGGCTATGTGCTTTCTAGGCAGGGTTTCCCACAGATGCTTACCTTACCCTGATGCACACATTTTACTATCTGACTTCTCTCATTGATGTTTCTAGGAACCTGCTAGAATCACCTATAGAGCTAGTCTGATGTTATTTGGAATGAAACTCAGACCATTGGTTACCTATTTAGCCTTGTAGTTGAGATTTTGATTTTTCTGTTTTCTAGAGATTCTGTAATCACTAATCTCAGGCTATTCATCCCTTACAGAGATAATCTGATTTTATTGAATAATTAGGCCTTCTTAAGGAGTATATCTAATGTCAGTCCTGGCATCTGACTCCCAGTAGATTCTAGCTCATAGGGTGGCATGGAGGACTAGAGCTGTGTGTGTGTGACCAAATTTCCTGTTAGAACTCATGCTGCATCATCAGTGAGGTTTTTTTCCTACTCCGGGTGTAGTCCTCAGACCAGGGGCACAGACACCCCCACCCCAGGCTCTATATTAGAATCAGCATTTTAACAAATTTCCAGGTGATTGGCACATGAACAGCTGAGATGCCCCTCTTTGAATGCCTTGAAGGAGCTGGGTGTTTGTCCTGGAGTTGCTGAGGAGATTTTAGTCATTCTCTGGGGGAAACCATGGGTTTTACAACTCAGAAATCCACAAGTCTGTCAAGGGATACTACAGGGTCAGTTCCAGAGCTGAACTGAATCCATTTACTCATTCAGCATGAGCCCATTGACAGTGTGTCAGTCAGCAGTCTTCCAGCCTATTGCTTTGAATACCTCCACTGGCTCGCTACCTAGCCTGGTCGTTTGTTCTAATTTTAGGCACCTCTGGTTGTTTTAAATACCTTTCTACGTGATATTGAGTCCAACTCTACCTCCTTAAAACTTTCATTCTTAAAGAGGTGCTTACTCAGTAAGTGTTTGTTGAACAGGCTCTTGTTCCACCTGAGAGCTCTTCAGAGATTCTCACACACCTCTTTTGACAGACTGTGATTGTGGGGAGCAGAGGAGGCAGTGGAACCTAAATGTCTGTAGGGACAGAGCAATGGGCTTGTTTGTCCCTGATTTATGTACCAAATAATCATTGGTTATATATTTGATCCGAATAGTGTTGTCCTTGCTCTTCTGGGTAACATAGTGTTGCCCCCTCCTGAGTCATTTAGCTTCTAAAGAAAACCTGTTGGAGGGTTTGTCATTCTTACTCAGTGATGGCTTGATGGGAGGCCTAGCAACTGGGACCAGGGTGTTCTCTTTTATCCTGTCCTGTACTATGCACAAGAATATGGTGGAAAGGAAGGCAGGCCTGACACGCACGGCACCTTCAAGGCATCGTGTGGGAGCAACTCTGCAGAAATGTGTGCAGGCTGGAGTAACTTCCAGCACAACTTTTTCAATAGAAATCTTAATAATGATTAGATAGTAGTTGCTTTGCCTGCTTTGTGGTATGTCTCCCACTACCCTGACAAAGCTTTGGAATTTAATATGTCAGTTTTTACTGGATTTCCAGTTGAGTTCAGTTTTCTTGAGAATGATTGTGGACTGAAGTTCCTGGCTAACTGAATTTGCAAGTTGGTAGGGTATATTATGCATGGAACCTACAGTAGAACAATCTTTGTGCTCACTAGGGAAGGATTGCCTTGGATCTACATGAAAAGGGACAGTGAGTCCTGGAAATAGACTATTATGAAACATAGCCTTTTATTTAATAGGTCATGGGCTCCTGATGAAGCTGTAACAAAAGGGCAGTGGAGTTGTCGGGAGTGATTTGAAGATGTGCTGGTAGCAGGAATGCCACTAATACAATACTGTGTGACATGACAGTTGATTGTGTATGAACTGTATAGCAATAGCTCTAAGAAAAGAAAAAAGATGTAAAAGTGGTATAAAGAACAAGAGGTTTTGACATTTAAGGGAGTAAACGTCAATTGACTAATTAGTCAATTGATTAATGTGGAAAGCCTCGTTCTCGAAAAGGCCAGATGAAGCATTGCTGTTCTTAGCACTTCTTTAATTTTTGTTCAACCTGAAGAACTCAGGGCTGGGGAGAGGAGGCTGTCTGAGGAAAGCCAGTCACTCTGCTAGACTGGTACAGCTCACTTGAACTCTGAAGGGGAGTTTACAAGGCCCTGTGCTAGCACCTCGACATACAGAGTCCAGATGAATCAAATGTTGGTCCCACCTTCAGGGAATATACAGGGAAGATGAGATGAGCATGATCATCACTGTCCAGAGCTGCTATTTTACATTTGTTAGGTGATTAGTCTTTTGTCTCTCCCAACTGACTCTGTGATTCATGAGTGCAGGCTTTGTGCTCATGCTATATCCTGAAGCCTAGCACGGTGCCTGACATATAGTCTGTACTCATTTAATTGGTGGAGTGGGCAAGTGAACATGTGAAGTGTAGATGTCCAAAGAGAAGTAGAGATCCAGTAGGTGATGTGAGAATTCAGGGAAGATGACTGCTGCCTGAGAAAGATCAGGAAAATGTGAATGGAGGAGTGGTAACATCTTGAGCCCCCAAAACAGAGTTTATGGTTGCTTTTACCTGGTAGCTCACCTTTCTGTCAACCATCACCTCTATTGTAAATGTCCGTGTTCTCTTACCCTGAAGTAGTATGTCATCTATTAGCATTTGGACTCAAAGTGAACCATGCTTAAATGTCAGACATTTTTGTTTGTACTTTGTTTTCCTTGCCTCTGGTTGTTAGAAATGTCAAGTTCCAAATGTCTTCTGATGGGTATATGTTTTTTTTTTTAAATATAGTAATGTTTTTATATTTAGGAAATAAATGCTTTTTAGTACAAACACAAACTTCCATGGGAGGCTCTGGCTGTCTTGGAAGTGACCTTGGACTTAGGAATGGCATTCATTCTAAGGTGGGGCATTTTGGCTAAAAGGATGGCATTTGGGGAAGTGTGGACGAAAGTAGAATATAATAGAACTTTTCACTAAAGCACAACTATTTCATCTTCACCCAGAAATGGAAGGCCATATACATACCTTGTGTTTTTCTTAATTTCTCTCCACAATTGATCATTATGTGTAACAAATGTAGTCTGGGTATCTTCTTTCTTATATCACAAGGTGATAGAAAAATAAATCATCTTACCAGTATTACTTTCCTTTTTACATCATAGTACTTTTAGAAAATATAGCACATTGATTTTAAGAGTACAATGGGCACATCTTTAAAATTTTGGGACATACTATTAGAAAAATTAAGATATTGTATATGATTTATTTTACACACTTGTCATAAAGTACACCTTGGAATAGCTTTTCATTTATAATAAACGGTTGGTGTGTGTAATTGTGACTAATGAGTGTTAATGAGTTTGAGATCTGAATATATTTATTAGAAAAGTTAATAGTATGAAATGTGTAATTACCAAGTTGTTTTACACATTTTGGTTTAATTAAGTTACTCTAATAAATATTTGAGTTGTTAATGTTATAGTTGCACTGATGCTTGAATGTGAGAATATAACTCTTACACATCATGGTCTGATTTTGAAAGAAGGCCTTAATGTGTAGTGTCTTATGTATTAAAGATCATATGTTATAGTATCAATTTTAGCAGCTGCTATTTATAATATGGCTCTAAAGTTTGGGGAATTTGGACAGAAAGGAACTCTTAAGAATAGGAATAAATAGTAAGTGTTCACCAAATAAGAACATTTGAATAGGTGAATGGACAGATGGACTGATGAATTGAACTTGAATGATCAAGGATTTGCAAGTTTGGTGTCATCTGTCAGTTAACTTTGAAGCTCTTGGGATGAGGTTTTTTATGTTGCCACAGATTTTCCTTTAGAGAAGCTAAGGGTGGCTGTGGGAGGCAGATCCAGTTCCTGAATATTGGTGGCGCTGCGGTGACACCTGGGTAAATTAAAATCCTTGTAGAATCACCAAACCTTTTTTTATCTATTAATTTCAACTAGATCAGTCAGTCAGTCAGTCAAGGACATTCCTTCTTGACCAGCTTTACATACTCAGAAAGCTTAGCATGGTGCCTTCCTGCATAGGAAACTCTTAGGAAAGAAAGGTGTGGTGGTAATGCAGTCATTGTACATATAAGTTTCAAGGAATTATGATTTTTGATATTTAGAACATCATATCACATTTATTTATAAGTGATTGAGTATCACCTCTGCTCCTTCTAGTAATCCTTCTGTACCTTTACAGGTGAGCAGTGAAGGACCCAGGGGGCGTGGCAGCAGCAGTGTAATGCCTGCCTCTTAGTTCATCTCAGTGGTGGCTGATGACCAAACACACATATTAATTTTTATTAAGTGATCTCTGTTATTATGGTCTGTTACTTTCTAAGAGAGAAGCTTGGATTTTTTTTTTTTTTAAGTGTTTTTGCTCCTCAACTACTGGCGTGCAGAATAGATGAATAGAATAGGATCCTTCTCTCTTTACACCTCCTTGTTTGGTAGTCTTGTCCTAATGTTTCATGACATACGTAGTCTTCTGATAAATTTTTACTTCTCAATAGTTTTAAAATAATTTACAGACTTCTCCCTTTTACTTACCTTTTTTGTTTGTCTGTTTGTTTGTTGTTATAGCTATCCTGGGGTCTCCAGCTAGTGGAATTCAGAACACAATTGGTTCTGTTGGTACAGGCCAGCAGAATGCTACTTCTTTAAGTAACCCAAATCCTATAGACCCCAGCTCCATGCAGCGAGCATATGCTGCTCTTGGACTTCCCTACCTGAACCAGCCCCAGACGCAGCTGCAGCCTCAGGTTCCTGGCCAGCAACCAGCACAGCCTCAAACTCACCAGCAGATGAGGACTCTCAACCCCCTAGGTACGTGAAGGAACTCTTGAGAACTTCTTTGTGCTAATGCAGCAGTGGGAATGACAAGTCTTCCTGGAACCAGAAGCTGTTTTCAGTTATTGTTTTTACTTTAAATTCAAATTAATATATGTATATATTATGGTGATGGTATTATCTAAATAATTGGGGGGAAAATTTCCAAGAAAAGGCAACCGTGTCAATGCATGGTATGTGTTACAGGCTTATAAAAAGAAAAGCATTGCCCGGCCAGTGTGGCTCAGTGGTTGAGCATCAACCCATGCACCAAGAGGTCACCAGTTTGATTTCCGGTCAGGGCACATGCCCAGGTTGTGGGCCTGATCCCCAGTGGGGGGCATGCAGGAGGTGGCCAGTCGATGTTCTCTCTCATCGATGTTACTATTTCTCTCTCTCTCTTTAACATCAATAAAGAAAAGGTATTTTTTAAAAAAAGAAGAAGAGCATTTGCAAGTGAACCAACATTTTCTTGTGCCACTTCTGTCTGGAATTTTCATAAAGGGCATTTCATATGGCTCATAATGCCAAGTCTCACAAGTTAGAATTATAGTTACACCACTTGAATTAACTCCCAGTAGACCATTTATTTGATGGAGAACTTGTAGATGGTCTACTATTTCTATCAAGTCTTAATTATGGGTTATCTCACAGTTGGAAGTGACCAGCTTGGACATGGACAGGTTAACAAGAGTCTCAGAAAATCTCTTCTGTTTCAGCCTTCTCCGTGTATTAGTATTGCCTAGTATAATCTTAACCCATTATTTGCCAGTTTGGTCTTTTGTTTTTACACATCTCCACAATTTTGGCCACCTCTGCATATTGTTTGCTTAATACTTTTCTTTAAATTGACTGTCCTTTCAAACTTAGGCTTAAGCCAAGCAGTTATGTCATTCATGTTAAATCAAGGTTATTGTAAATGACAGTTGAAAACATCTCATTTGTTGCTTTTTGGAAAACAATTGACCTAATGCATATCTAATGTCTACTGGCCAGGAGACTGGTTTAGAGTCATAAGACCTGAGTTCTAATCTAATTCCACTCCTGTTGATGATTTAATTTGGGATAAAACTATTAACTTCCCTTATACTGTAAAATGAATACTATAGACAAATTGACCTTTTATGTTTTTAACTTACACTAAATATTTATGGTTTTGTTTTCTGATATGCAAACAAAATTGATGGCACATATATGTGACAAGTTAGCTTAGTTGTTTAGGTCATGATATTAATGAAACCAGAATCAAAATCTGAATCTAAAATGAATCATTTCTAGTTGTCTTCATAGCCTTAGAGTACACTTATGATGCCATCCAGCCTCCATAAAAATGTCTTATTTTAGTTTTACAGCACAGTGGGAAGGAGTCTGCAACTGAACTTGTACAAGTCAATCACCATTATTGAAAATATAACTCCCGCCGTGGCTGGTTTGGTTTAGCAATTAGAGCATCAGCCTGTGGACCAGAGAGTCTTGGGTTCAATTCTGGTCAAGGGCACGTACCTCGGTTTCTCTCTCTCTCTCTCTCTCCCCCCCCCCCCCCCTCCCTCCCTCCCTCCCTCCCTCCCCCCTCCCCCTCTCTCCCACTCTATCTGAAGTTAAATGGAAAAATGTCCTCAGGTGAGGATTAAATATATATATCTCCTAGAGTTCCTGCTGTAGTGTTTATTATTATAACTCACTAAGAATTGCTTATTCTTTTTTTTTTTTTATCCTCACCCGAGGAAATTTTTCCATTTTTTGTTCAGATAGAGTGGGAGGGAAAGAGGAAGAGAGAGAGAGAAAGAACCATCCACATGAAAGGGACACCTTGAGTGGCTGCTTCCCACACAACCCAACCAGGGCCAGGGACAAACTGCAACTGAGGTATATACCCTTAGCCGGACCGAACCCAGGTCTCTCCAGATCGCAGGCCGATGCTCCAACCGCTGAGCCAAACTGGCCAGGGCAGAATTGCTTATTCTTTTAAAGAATTTTTTTTTTTTTTTTTATCCTCACCCAAGGACATTTTTCCATTTTTTGTTCAGGTAGAGTGGGAGGGAGAGAGAGGAACAAAGAGAGAGAGAGAAACATCGACGTGCAAGGAACACATCGAGTGGCTGCCACCCGCACGACCAACCAGGGCCGGGGACAAACTGCAACCGAGGTACGTGCCCTTAGCGGGAACCGAACCCGGGTCCCTCTGGACCGCAGGCCGACGCTCTAACCGCTGAGCCAAACCGGCCAGGGCGAATTGCTTATTCTTAATGGTGACTTATTGTTTATCTGTTATCAGAACTCTTAAGTGTATATTATAATTTAGGAATTGATTTTTTTCTGTCTTTAAAGGAAATAACCCAATGAACATTCCAGCAGGAGGAATAACAACAGATCAGCAGCCACCGAACTTGATTTCAGAATCAGCTCTTCCAACTTCCCTTGGGGCCACAAAGTAAGACCCATGTTTCAGTTGACTCCTCTGTGAGTGGCAGTGACACATGAAAGTGGGCTGGTAATCACAGCAAACTCGGTGATTCTTTCTGAATGTGCAGTAGAGAAAATAGTTGGGGTGGGGGCTTGCTATTTTTCTTTTAATTATAAATGTAGGACAGATAAGAGAACATAGTTTCTGTTTATATCACTTGGGTCTCCTAACTTAAAAGTCTTGTATGGTTGAAGGCCTTACTTAAATGATGTGCATTTGAGTCACTTCAGTAAGTGGATAAAGTGTTCTTGTTCTTCCCTTAGCCCACTGATGAATGATGGCTCAAACTCTGGAAACATTGGAACCCTCAGCACTATACCAACAGCAGCAGCACCTCCTTCCAGTACTGGTGTTAGGAAAGGCTGGCATGAACATGTCACCCAGGACCTGCGGAGCCATCTAGTGCATAAACTGTACGTTCTCACCTCATCCATTATTCACGTGATGGAAGTATTTTGTGGCTGATGGCATTGTGACAGTTTTGCAATTTCATTGATATCTGATTTAATTCCTGAGTGGTCCTAAGTGATAATACTTTAGCATCTGAAGGGAGTCACATCCTTGTTTAGGAAGCCATAGCCACTGTTGGCAGGCCAGAGAATCCCAGACTCTGCATCCCCAGAGGGGGGCATCAGAGCATTCATGGCTCTACCCTGCAGAGGAGCATGAACTATGACCCTTGTCACAGAGGCCACTCCCAACACAGCCAGATATGTCCTCTGAACTCTGGGATTAGCTCAGAAGCTTTGCCTTATTTTATGGCTCAAAGTTATAGTTGTGGAGACCCCTGAGAATTTGGGCCTAGTGGATACAGATGGCATGATAGTACCATCGTATAGTCAGCGAACATACAGAAAGTTAATAGTTAACTTTCTTGAGCTGGTTAAATTACATTGAAGGCAAAGTTAACCAACAGTTCCCTTGGAGTTTTCTTTTTTCTTTATTATTTTAACCAAAAATTTTTGTAGTAAGTAGTTTAAAAAGTAAGAATTCAAAGTCATATTATTCTTGCCTGGCTGGTGTGGCCCAGTTGGTTGAGCATTGACCCACTCACCGAGAGGTGGCTGGTTCGATTCCTGATCAGAGCACATGCCCAGGTTGTGGGCCAAATCCCCAGTGGGGGGCATGCAGGAGGCGGCCAGTCAGTGATCTCTCTCATCGATGTTTCCTTCTCTCTCTAAAATCAATAAAGAAAAAAAAATTAAATATAAAAAAAATTATATTATTCTTGAGATGACCCAGCATTTATTGTTAATAGCAAAATATTGTGTTGGGCTTGTAGATAAATCAATAGGTTAGTATAGTCTCTAGAGAATGACTTTATTTGTGTACTCATATCTTAGGCAGGAGATATTTGGGATTTCTCTCAATAGTGTATCACCCACATAGGTAAATGAGTTTTTCTTTCCAGGTCACATATAAAATGGCAAGATACTGATATTATATTGAGAGTGGGTTGATAGACTATGTTGTTCTTTTAGTGTCCAAGCCATCTTCCCAACACCTGACCCTGCAGCCCTGAAGGATCGCCGCATGGAGAACCTAGTGGCCTATGCTAAGAAAGTGGAAGGGGACATGTATGAATCTGCCAACAGCCGGGTAGGTTGCCATACATGTTCCAGCCTGCATAACACCTACAGTAGATATAACTACATCAGTCTGGCTTACTTGTCTGGAAATGGGGAATATGTTAGTTGGGTACACCCATCACCTTGAGGAGGCTAACCAGAGAGCATTAGCAGATAAGACATGATGTCTCTACACAACTCTCCTAGTTTACTACAAATCACCACTACAGTGGTACATGAGGTGTACAAAATTGAATTTTATCTATGTATGTCATGTCTACGTCCATGTGGATGTTGTTTATAATTCTTGTACTATGTTACTGCCACCACCAGTGAATATCCAAGAAGAGATTCAGCTGTGGAATGAAATGAAATGTGCCTTTATTACCTACTGTCTATTAAGTCCTGTAATGTAACTAGGAGTTCAACAAGAATTTGGGCCTTTGGTTTATGAGTTAGAAGTGTTGAATACTTACCTTTGCCAGTGTACTTAATAATAAAAAATTTATTAGTTTGTTAGAACATACAAATTCATTTTTTACAGTTTTAACTGTCTAATAGTAAATGTTACTGCTTTTCAGGATGAATACTATCACTTATTAGCTGAGAAAATTTACAAGATACAAAAAGAGCTAGAAGAAAAACGGAGGTCACGATTACACAAACAAGGCATCTTGGGTAACCAGCCAGCCTTACCAGCTCCTGGGACACAGCCCCCTGGGATTCCCCAGTCACAACCAGTGAGACCTCCAAGTAAGGACTTCATGTCTTTCTGCCAGCCCTTAGTCTGTTTGCTTGATTTTTCTTATGTGTTTAGTGTGTGTTTCAAGTATATGAAATTGTGTTCTCTGAAAACCCACATTTTGGAGACTGATACATTGGAGACTGTGCATTGGCCTGTGTTTGGACATTGAGTCTCTCTCATGGAGAGACCCTTTAAAGGGTTTGCTGGCATCAGAATGCACAGTGCTTTGGGACCTGTTGACTGGTTTTTCTTTATGTTTGAAGTACTTAAGATAAAATTCCTTATTCCTAAATCAAGAATTATTTTAAATAACTTTTTTTTTTTCTGCCATTATAGATGGACCCATGCCCCTGCCAGTGAATCGCATGCAGGTTTCTCAAGGTATTTAACTATTGCCGTGAATCATATTTTGGTTTACCATTCAACAGCCACAAAGTGTATTGGTTTTTTTCCTCTTTTTCTCTGTATTTCATTGTAGCTCTTCTTTTCCATTCCTTTTTGCTGATGAGCAGAACTCATTTCCGCAGACAGTATGAATATTAAGAGATCGTAGGAAAGATCTCCAAGGAGGTCAAAAGCAGAATTTAGCCCCTTTTTTTTTCGTGGACAAGAGAGGTTATTACTTTTTAGGAAGAGTCTCATTAAAAAAAGCATTGTAGGTGAGGGAAGGAAACACTTTTGATTGTGTGAAAGGAGAACATCAGGCCTGTCCTGGGGCAGTGAGCAGTACTGGGGGTGAGGTGGGGAAAGTGCAGTGGCTGCTTTGGGCTCTGTGAGTGCAGGTAGTCAAGACCAGCCAAGAAGGTTTGTACTCACAAGAGTCTGCATCAGGCTGGGGTACTGGCAGCTGATCTGAACAACTTTTAAAGATTGTTCTCAGGTTGAAATTCTATGGTTTTTGCTTGATTGAAGCTATCGTAGTTTGGGGACAAGATGCATTTCAAAACTTTCACAGTTTTTGTCTAATTGATACTTGAACAGTAAGGTGTTTTTTGCAGGTTGTGAAATAAGGTGGTGACATTATCCAGAAGATTCTAAAGCATGGCTTGGTTGTGTTATTAGAGTAATTTGGGAGGGGAGAAGAGGTCATTTTTAAAGTTGCAGTAATCTTACTGAATACTGAAAAAGACATGGTAGATAAACTGATATTAAAGAGGAACCAGTTTACTGAGGATTGTGGAAAATTACAAAGAATGAGAGGCCGTGGTCTAGAAATGCTTAGCGGCTAGTGAGGTGCCTTTCATGGTGTGACATTCCTGCGGACGGTGGGCAGCCCAGGGGCAGCAAAGGTACTGCGAAAATGAGATTTTTCTAGTCTGTAGAGAGAAGGCTGAGGTTGAGAACTGGCCACCTTTGGATGCTTTCTGAACATTTAACTTGCTTGCAAAATTAAAACCATATTTTGAGTTTTATCCCAGATTCTAACAATAAATATAAACCCAGCTGAAGAGCTAGGAGGCCTGGATGGGGGTGGGGGGGATGAGAACGGGCTTCCTGCAGAAGAGAAGATGGAAGCCAGATGCTCCAGAAGGCGTTAGTGAGAGGTTGGCTCAGACTGATGCCCTAGCCTTAGTTAACACCTCTTCCGTGGTTGGTGAGAACACCTTCCGGATGTAGTTTTGTCTCCTTAGTTGCTTTGATGCTTTTCCTTCAGTGTGCTGACATGCTGATCAATGCTTCCTCAGCTGTGTTTTTTTGTGGTTTACCTGACTTTCTACCCTCATCTCCTAATTCTGCTCTACCTCCCACTCCCACGCCCACCATACCACCCTCACCACATTTTTCCTAGGTATGAAAATTCTGTTACTTAACCATCTTATCTGATTAGCTGGGTGATTTCATTTGTATGTGTTGTGTATGTGTTCCATCTTATTTTGCTTTGAGTTTATTGGGTAAGTTGTAATTCTGTTTTCCTGTAGATGCTTTTCCTAATGAACCATTGTGGATACATTTACAGGGATGAATTCATTTAACCCGATGTCCTTGGGGAATGTACAGTTGCCACCAGCTCCAATGGGACCTCGCGCAGCATCCCCCATGAACCATTCTGTCCCAATGAACAGCATGGGCTCCGTTCCAGGGGTAAGTCCTGCTTGCCTTAGCTGTGCTCAGAAGGCCTTGCCCAAATAAGAAAAATTCTATAAGCAGTGCAATTGTAGACTTTCTAGAATCCTATAGTACCTGTTCCTTTGGATTTGGGTTATGCTTTATTTCCTTCTTCTTCCCCCTGCCTCTCTCTCGGTCTTCATTATTATAGTGAAATAAAATTTTTTTCTCCTCACTCGAGGACATTTTTGCATTTATCTTCAGATAGAGCGGGAGGGAGGGAGGGGGACAGAGAGAGAGAAACATAGCTGTGAGAGAGACACATTGACTGGTTCCCACCCACAGGGCCCCAACCAGGACCGGGGACAAACTGCAACTGAGGTACATGCCCTTAGCGGAAACTGAAACCAGGACTCTCGGGTTCGTGGGCCGGCACTCTAACTGCTGGGCCAAATTGGCCAGGGCTATAGTGAAAATTTTTTGACCATTATTTATTTTTATTGGAATGTCAAATTCATAGGGGCTTACGACTCGTTGAGAAGATGGAGTTCTATAGATGTAATAGGCAGCCTCAGATTTGTGCCGAGAGGGACTTGTCAGAGTCTGTTGACTCCTAGAGCTTACTCTCCTGTGGCTGCTTTCTAAATGCTTCAAAGAACTTATAAAGGCATATTTTGAACTTTAAATTGTAGTACGCTATTGATTTCTATCCAAAGGACAATCTGAAGCCGACTCATTAGAGACTTTGCATGAGAAAGCTGGCAAAGTGCCTGGGAGCTATAAGATCTTAGTGAGTGGTGTTTCTCTTCCTGAGAGGGAGGAAGGATTTGAAGAATTCTAGCTCTTTTAGTTTATCTGGAATACTTTGGCCTTTGTCCTCTAAACTTTCAATGATGCTTGTTGTCTTTTAGATGGCCATTTCTCCTTCCCGAATGCCTCAGCCTCCAAACATGATGAGTGCACATGCAAACAACATGATGGCCCAGACGCCTGCGCAGAACCAGTTTCTGCCGCAGAACCAGTTCCCTTCATCCAGTGGGACAATGAGTGTGAACAGTGTAGGCTTGGGGCAACCAGCAGCCCAGACAGGCGTGTCACAGGTACCGTTTGCCTTTGGGCCACCTACATTGATATTGCCCCAGGTTCCTACTAACCTGAAAATGTCTTACTTATTTCATGGAAATTAGAACTCTACACATTTCATTTTGATCTTTTCATCTTTTAGCATCTCTTGAATTTTTCCTCATTTTATCCTGTAATTTTTACCTTATTTAGAAAGACTTTTATCATTTTGGGGTGAACTTCATGTAAAAGTGGAATGGTTTGTAGGTTTTTTGGTTGTGTACTTTTACATTTTGATTTTTGGGTTTCTTGTCTTTTTCTTGGTTTTTTATTTGTGTCTTTTAAATTCTAAGTTTCATATGCAATCCTGAGAGACATTGAATTTTATTTTATTTTATTTTTTTATTTATTTTATTTTATTTTATTTTTTTTATCCTCACCCAAGGACATTTTTCCATTTTTTGTTCAGACAGAGCAGGAGGGAGAGAGAGGAAGAGAGAGAGAGAGAAACATCGATGTGAAGGGACACATCAAGTGGTTGCCACCCGCACGACCAACCGGGGCCGGGGACAAACTGCAACCGAGGTACATGCCCTTAGCGGGAACCGAACCCGGGTCTCTCCGGACCGCAGGCCGATGCTCTAACCGCTGAGCCAAACCGGCCAGGGCGAGACATTGAATTTTAAAGAGTAAGGAAGGAAGGGATCCCATGAGTTCATTGCTAATGTTTTGATTTGTGTATCCTATTGCCTGTCTCTGAACTGCCCAAGTGAAGTCAGGCCAACTAGATCGGTTGAGTAGTTGTCCTCTTATTCAGTGTGATTTTACTCAGTCAGTCTAAAGCTGAAGAGAACTATTTTCAATTCATTTTACTGCCTTATACTTCTTTTTGTTAATTGTTATATTAGAATGTTGTGCTTATATATGTACACGTATTTAAAATGGGCTGAATCTTCCCCCAAAAGATGAAGTTCTTGTTTTTAATTTTTTAACATAAAGGAATATTGAATAAAAGTAATTGACTACACTAGATGTACTAATAGTAAATGCCTATTCACTAATTCTTAATTTCCATAACATGTCATTGCTCTAGAGCAGGAATCAGCAAATTTGTCCTGAAAATACTTTTGACTTTGTGGGCCATACATAAACTCTGTCTTAACTGCTCAACTCCAGCGTTGTGGGGCAAAAGTAGCCCAGCCATATTCATTCCTACGTAAATGAATGGGTGTGCTATGTTCTAATAAAACTTGAGTACACAAACAGGCAGCTTAGCTGTGTTTGGCCATGGGCAGTAGTTTTCAGACCTTCATTCTAGACCAGTGGTTTGGAATCACTTTTTCAAAGGTCTACAAGTATTCTGAAGCATGTTCTCAGTTGAGACCATTGCACTGAAACATTTCAATATTTCAACAACTTATTTTTTAAACAAAGATAAATACCTTTTCTGTTTGTCTAAGCTGTGAGTGGATATTATGGAACAAGAAGCTAGTAAGTTGAGTGGATATGTTTGTTTAAACCAGAAGTTTCAACAGTTATATAAATCAAAGTAAAAGAAACAATCATAGCATTAACTTTATTGGAAAGTGCACATTATAATAAGTGTACAACTGGATGAATTTTTGCAAATGGAACATGGCCCTGAAACCAGCAGACCTCTTCAAGAAACCATGATTAGATTTTCATGCATTTAATTCTTTAAATCTGTTGCTACATTTTCAAATGGGGGAAGTAATTTTAACATACTCTGTTCCCTCTGTTAGGGACAGGTTCCTGGTGCTGCTCTTCCTAACCCTCTGAACATGCTTGGGTCCCAGCTGCCTTGCCCACCAGTGACACAGTCACCATTGCACCAAACGCCACCTCCTGCTTCCACAGCTGCTGGCATGCCATCTCTCCAGCATCCAACAGCACCTGTGATGACTCCTCCCCAGCCAGCAGCTCCCACCCAGCCATCAACTCCTGTGTCATCTTCCGGTCAGACTCCTACCCCGACTCCTGGTTCAGTGCCCAGTGCTAGTCAAGCCCAGAGCACCCCTACAGTCCAGGCAGCATCCCAGGTGACCCCACAGCCTCAGACCCCAGTTCAGCCTCCATCTGTGGCCACCCCTCAGTCATCGCAGCAACAGCCAACGCCTGTGCATGCCCAGCCTCCTGGCACGCCGGTGAGTCTCTCTGTTGTCTTCTTTCGTCTGAGACTCTTATGAGAACTTTCCCATAAAAAAATCTGTCATGATGGCCCTGGCCAGGCAGATCAATTGGTTAGAACATCATCCCCATATGCCAAGGTTGCAGGTTCATTTCCTAGTCAGAGTACATACAAGAAACAACCAATGAATGCATAAATAAGTGGAACAACAAATCTCTCTCTCTTCAGTCCTCTCTTTCTCTCTCTAAAATCAGTAAAGATTTTTTTTTAAATTCTGTCATAAAGTTGGTATAACCCCAAAAAGTAACTGCACTCTAATAGAACCATAATCAGCTGTGTTTTGTTTCCAACATTGGCTTCAAAGGTTGTTTGGCAGAACATGACTTATAATTATCTTCCCTAATTAAATGAATTTGCAAAAATCAGCAATTATAGAGAAATAATATATGAGTCTTCTGTAGAATTTTAAAACTACCTATAAATAAGAGAAGTCTGTTTCCCATTATCTGTCCCAGATTGATGTCTTCTGAGTTTTGGTAGTTTTTCTCCTAACATCATAAGGATGTGGTCACGTTCCTGATTGTGTATGCTTTGACCTTGCCTATCAGCCTTGTTTTCAGACTAGAAGCCTTTTCTTTTTTATGACAATATGGCATACCCAAGTTAGTGTTTCCTGTGACTCAGATCTGCCCAGTCTTCCAAGGACCTGCCGGGAGTGTCCAATCTGTGTGCTTTTCTAGGCTGGGCTGACCCAGGGACCTGAGGCTACTCTCTTGTCACCTCTACTTCCCTCCCCCAGTTATGAAAATCTTAGTACCCATTTTTTTACCAGTCTAACTTAGAAAACCCTCTCCCCTGAAATACATTAACTTTATTCTTGGGGACTGAAGGTATTTACTTCTAAAATAATCAAAATTAATCCCAACAATTTCAAGATAACATTACCATTTGTATTTCTCCAAAGCCTTTCTAATTTTGTATTATCTTTTGTTTGTTTACTTTAAACTGCATTGGGTAAGACTTTGAAATTTTAGAATTCTTTTAGTGGTTCTTTCTCTTAATGTTTGTCTATTCCTTTGCCACTATTGCCACCACTGTTCTTACAGTTAGCAAGTTAATTATATATTCTTGTTTCATATAGGCACTTTATTTCCCTTCCTACATATATACTTATATATTGATAATTCAGCCTTTAGCCATAAACATTAATGATCTTACTGGAAGGAATTAATTTTAAAATAGGAGATTCTGTGGCTTAGGTAGAAAACTTGCAGAAAACAATTTTATATCCACATGTAAAAAGCTCTGCTTTTCCATCTCTGTATTCTTGGCAAGAAGTCAGTTGTGTTTCTGCCTAATGTTGTCTTCCTTTAGAACTCCTCTTTGAACTTTTTTTCTTTCATTCTCTCAAATGGGGGTGCTTATTAGGTTAGTATTGAGAAATGTTAACACAAAACTGTATATTGGGTGAGCAGCAACAGAGTTTAAGATCATTATATTGTTTTGTTAACAGAGATAAATGATTGTTTTTTTCTACAGCTTTCCCAGGCAGCAGCCAGCATTGAGAACAGGGTACCCACTCCATCCTCAGTAACCAGTGCTGAAACCAACTCTCAGCAGCCAGGACCCGAAATACCAATGCTGGAAATGAAGAGTGAGGTCAAGACTGAGGACACCGAGCCTGATACCAGTGAAGCCAAGGGAGAGCCTGGGTCTACGGTAGGTGCCAGGGGTCCATCATAGATATCCCTGCTTTTTGTTTTAACATCCTCTTTAATCTGTTTGCTACTCAAACCCACAATCAAAAACAGATTGGTTATTTATTTTTAGAAATAGGTATGGGTTTTGTTTTGTTTTTGACAGAAATAAAGAACACTGGCTTATATTTTATTTTTTTAAATGCAGGGCTTGGGAGAACATTGTTTCGAAAACTAAAATTGTAATGATAACCTTTTAAAGATTTACTTTTTTTTATTTGTTAACCCTTACCTGAGGATGTTTTTCTGATAGAATGGAAAGGGGAGGGAGGGAGGGAGACACATCAGTGTGAGAAAGAGACATCAGTTGGTTGCCTCCTGCACAACCCCAACAGTGCTGGAGATTGAACCTGCAACCCAAGTACATGCCCTTGACTGGGAATTGAACCCGTGACTTTTTCATCCGTGGGCTGATGCTCTAACCACTGACCTAAACCAACCAGGGCGTAAAGGTTTTCTTTTAAAGATATCTGTGTTTTATTTTTTCCCTTATCTGCCCATGCGCCACACACACACACACACACACACACACACACACACACACTACCCCAATCCCCATTGGCAACCATCAACTCATTCTCTATATCTGTGGGTCTGTTTCTGTTTTATTTTTTCATTTATTTTGCTTTTTTATAAGTGAGATCATACAGTATTTGTCTTTGACTTTTCTCACTTAGCATAATACCCTCTAGGTCCATCTATATTGTCAAAAATGGCAAGATATCTTTTTGTTTTATTATTGCTGAATGGTATTCGTGTGTGTGTGTGTGTGTGTGTGTGAGAGAGAGAGAGAGAGAGAGAGAGATCATCTGTTGATGGACATCTGGGTTACTTCCATATCTTAGTTATTGCAATGAATTCTGCACTGAACATACAGGGACATATGTTTTTTTTCAAATTAAGATTCATGTTTTTTTCAGATAAATACCCAGAAATGGAATTGCTGGATCATATGGCAGCTCTATTTTTAATTTTTTTGAGGAATCTCCATACTGTTGCCTGCACTAATTTAAGTCCCACCAATAGTATACAAGGGTTCCCTTTTCTCCACATCTTCACCAACACTTATTTGTTGATTAATTATTGAAAGCCATCTGACAGATGTGAGGTGATAGCTCATTATGGTTTTAGTTTACATGTCCCTGACAGTTAGTGATGTTGAGCATCTTTTTATATGTCTATTGGCCATCATATGTCCTCTTGAGAGAAATGTCTACTCAGGTCCTCTACTCATTTTTAAATTGGATTATTTGGGGTGGGTTTTGTTTGTTTGTTTTTTGAGCTTTATGAGTTTTTTATATATTTTGAATATTAACCTATCAATGTATCATTTGTAAATATCTTATATCATTCAGTAGGTTTTTTTGTTTGTTTGTTTGTTTTTATCCTCACCAGAGGACATTTTTTCGTCTTTTGTTCAGATAGAGTGGGAGGGAGAGAGAGGAAGAGAGAGAGAGAGAGAGAGAGAGAGAGAAACATCGACATGAAAGGGACACATTGAGTGGCTGCCACCTGCATGACCCAACCAAGGCCAGGGACAAACCGCTACTGAGGTACATGCCCTTAGCAGAAACCGAACCTGGGTCTCTCTGGACCGCAGGCTGACGCTCTAACCACTGAGCCAAACTGGCCAGGGCAGTAGATTATTTTTTGTTTTGTTTTGTTGATGGTTCCTTTCACTGTGCAAAAACTCTTTATTTGATGTTGTTCTGTTTCTTTTTCTTTTGTATCCCTCTGTCGAGAAGATAGATCCCAAAAGATACTGCTAAGAGCTGTGGCAAAGAGTTTACTGCCTGTGTTTTCTTCTAGGAATTTTATGGTTTCAGGTCTAACTTTTAAGTCTTTAATTCGTTTTGAGTTTATTTTTGTACATGATATAAGAAAGTAGTCCAGTTTCACACTTTGTATTTATCTGTACAGTTTTGCCAATGCCACTTATTGAAGAGACTGTCTTTACCCCATTTTGTATCCTTGCCTCCTTTGTCATAGATTAATTGACGATATAAATGAAGAATTCTTGATTCTCTATTGTTTCAGAATCTACATATCTGTTTTTATGTCAGTACCATACTGTTTTCATTATTGTAGCTTTATAGTATAATTTGATATTAGTAAACGTAATACCTCATTTTATTCTTTCTCAAGATTTCTTTGGCTATTACGGGTCTTTTGTAGTTCCATATAAAATTCAGGATTAGTTTTGTTTGTTGTTTTCTTTTCTTTATTGATTTTAGAGAGAGAGGAAAGGAGAGGGAGAGAGAGATAGAAACATCGATGAGAGAGAACATCGATTGGCCACCTCCTGCATACCCCCCACTGGGGAATTTGGCCTGCAACCTGGGCATGTGCCCTGACCAGGAATCGAGCCAGCGACCTCTTGGTGCATGGGCCAATGCTCAACCACTGAGCACACTGGCCAGGCTAGGATTAGTTCTAATCCTAAGAAGAATGTCATCGGTATTTTGATAGAGATTGTATTGAATCTGTATATTACTTTAGTTGGTAAGGACATTTTAACAATATTATTATTATTATTTTTTTTTTATCCTCACCTGAGGGCATTTTTCCATATTTTGTTCAGATAGAGTGGGAGGGGGAGAGAGAGAGAAACATCGACGTGAAAGGGACACATCGACTGGCTGCCTCCCACACGACCCAACCTGGGCCGGGGACAAACTGCAACCGAGGTACACACCCTTAGTGGGAACCGAACCCAGGTCTCTCTGGACCGCAGGCTGACGCTCTAACCGCTGAGCCAAACCGGCCAGGGCAACAATATTAATTTTTTCAATCCTGAGTAAGGTATATTCTTCCATTTATTTATATCTTGTTTAATTTCTTTCTTTGGTATTTTACAGTTTTCAGGTCTTTCACCTCTTTTGTTAAATTTATTACTAGGTATTTTATACTTTTTTTTTTTTACTGATTTTTAAAGGGTGAGAAAGAACCCTGGCTGGTTTGGCTCAGCAGTTACAGCGTCGGCCTGCGGTCCAGAGAGACCCAGGTTCAGTTCCCACTAAGGGCACGTACCTTGGTTGCGGTTTGTCCCTGGCCCTGGTTGGGTCATGCGGGTGGCCACCACTCTGTGTGTCCCTTTTATGTCAGTGTTTCTCTGTTTCTGTTTCTCTCTCTCTCTCCCTCCCACTCTGTCTGAACAAAATATGGAAAAAATGGCCTCGGGTGAGGATTCAAAAAAAAAAAGAGTGAGAAAGAGACAGAGACATAGATTTGTTGCTCCGCTTATCTATGCATTCATTGATTGCTTCTTGTATGTGCCCTGACCAGGGAACGAACCCCCACAACCTTAGCATATCAGGAGGATGCTCTAATCAACTGAGCTACCTAGCCATTGTAATATTTTATACTTTTTGATACAGTTGTAAATGGGATAGTTTTCTTAGTTTCTTCTTCTGATCATTTGTTATTAGTATATAGAAACAACAGATTTCTGTATATGATTCTGTTGATTCTGTGTCCTGCAACTTTACTGAAGTCATTCATTAGTTCTAATAGTTGAGTTTTACTTCTTTCTTTCTAATTTGGATATCTTTTACTTCTTTATCTTGTATGATTGCTGTGGCTAGGACTTCCCATATTTTGTTGAATAGAAGTAGTGGTAGTAGACATCCTTGTCTTGTTCCTGATCTTAGATAAAAGTCTAGGACCAGATGGCATCTACTAAGATTCAAATAATTATATCTATCTTTCTTAAACTAATTTTTTAAAAATTGAAGAGGAAGGAATGCTTCCAAACTCATTTTATGAAGCCAGCATTACCCTGATACCAAAACCAGATAAAAATATAATAAAGGGAATTACAGGCCGTTATCCTTGAACATAGATGCAAAAATTCTCAACAAAATATTAGCAATCCAGATTCAACAATACAGTAAAAAGACTATATATACCATGACCAAGTGGGATTTATCCCAAGAATGGAAGGATGCTTCAGCATTCGTAAATCAATTAATGTGATACATCACATTAACAAAATAAAAGGATTAAAGCCATATGATCATTTCAGTAGATGCAGATGACAAAGGCATTTGACAAAATTCAATGCCCTTTTATGATAAAAACTCTCAACAAACTAAACTTAGACAGAATATCAACATAATAAAGGCCATATATGACAAACCCACAGCTAATATACTTATTAATGTACTCAATGGTAAAAGGTTATATTTTAAATGTTTGAGTCATTCAGCAACTTCTTTGTTGCCATTCTTTATTCATTTATAGTTCTGTAGGGTTAAATTGCACAAGGGTTTTATTTGTTTAGTAGTCAGCCTGTGGCAGAAGTTAAAATCTAGCAGACTGTGGTTGAATCCAGTCTATAAATGTGTTTTATTGCCCTGGCCAGTTTGGCTCAGCAGTTAGAACGTCAGCCTGCGGTCCAGAGAGACCCAGGTTCGGTTCCCACTAGGGGCATGTGCCTTGGTTGCAGTTTGTCCCCGGACCTGGTTGGGACGTGTGGGAGGCAGCCACTCGATGTGTCCCTTTCACATAGATGGTTCCCACACACACACACTCTCTATCTGAACAAAAAATGGAAAAATATCCTCGGGTGAGGATTTTTTAAAAAATGCATTTTGTTTGACTCACAATGTTTTTTTAAAATGAGAAATTATAAATTAAACTCTAGTTTTTTGGATTTTCTTGAAAATGGTAGGTTCTGTCAGCATTGTTTTTGCAGTCCTCTGTGGCAGCAGTCTGGGTGGGAGCACCAGCATGACCTTTAGATGGGCCACGGGCTCTCCAGTTTGCCAGTTTCCACTACTTCCTGTCTATACCTCACCTCCTGCTGCATTCATTTACTTTATCTGCCAGGCCCTCTGAGCAATTTGGTTTTTATCCCTGTCCCAGTTTTCCAGGAGATTTTTGTTCTAAACAAGAAATACCTATATGTAAAACTACTGAGCAGATGATGGTAGGTATTTATCTATGCAATATTTTAAGCACTCCAGCATGTAAAATTTAAAATTAAGACTATAATTGTATTGGTACTGTATTAAAGCAACTCAACTGCTCTATTCCTTCTTGTGGGAGAGAAAAGGAATGATAAATGCAGCTGTGAGTAGGAGAAGGTTTTAACAAGCCTGTAGATTTCTTTTTTCTAATTTTTTTTCTCTTTATTGATTTTAGAGAGAGGAGTGGAGGGAGAGGGAGAGATAGAAAGATCAATGAGAGAGAACATCAATTGGCCACCTCCTGCTTGCACCTCACTGGGGATTTGGCCCACAACCTGGGCATGTGCCCTGACTGGGAATCGAACCGTTGACCTCTTGGTGCATGGATTGGTGGTCAACCACTGAACCCCACGAGCTGGGCAAGCCCATAGATTTTTAAGAGCCTTCCTATAACTCTTGGGTTAGAATAAAGGTTTTTTTATTTTTTATTTTTTTATTTTTTTATCCTCACCCGAGGACATTTTTCCATTTTTTTGTACAGATAGAGTGGGAGGGGGAGAGAGGAAGGGAGAGAGAGAGGGAAACATCGACGTGAAGGGACACATCGAGTGGCTGCCACCTGCACGACCAACCAGGGCCGGGGACAAACTGCAACCGAAGTACGTGCCCTTAGCGGGAACCGAACCCAGGTCTCTCCAGACCGCAGACGGACGCTCTAACCGCTGAGCCAAACCGGCCAAGGCTAGAATAAAGGTTTTTTTATATCTATGTATCATTATCTCTAATTTTGTTTTTCTTTTTTAAGATGATGGAGGAGGATCTACATGGATCTTCTCAAGTTAAAGAAGAATCAGACACAACAGAGCAGAAATCAGAACCAATGGAAGTGGATGAAAAGAAGCCAGAAGTAAAAGTAGAAGCTAAAGAGGAAGAAGAGAGCAGTGCTAATGGTGCGGCCTCCCAGTCAGCATCTCCTTCGCAGCCACGCAAAAAAAGTAGGTTGTGTTTTCTTGAACTTACTGAACTGTGCTGCTTTGCCACTGTGTTGTGATTCCACACTGTGGATTAAAAGCTAAAGCAGAAAAGGAATTTCATCTCCTCTTTTATTTTTTTCCCTTCCACTCCCCAAGTAGAAATGGTAACACCAAGCTGGACTCCTGCCTGAGAACCTACAGGTTCATGGCAGGAATGAAAAACAAGCCTTGTGCCCTGGCTGGTTTGGTTCAGCAGTTAGAGCATGGGCCTGCTGTCCAGAGAGACCCGGGTTTAGTTCCTGCTAAGGGCACGTACCTCAGTTGCGGTTTGTCTCCGGCTCTGGTTGGGTCATGCAGGTGGCAGCCACTCGATGTGTACCTTTCATCCTTTCATGTCAATGTTTCTCTCTCTCCCTCCCTCTCTCCCCCTCCCTCCCTCCCTCCCTCCCTCCCCCTCCCTCCCTCTCTCCATCTCTGTCTGAACAAAAAATGGGAAAATGTCCTTGGGTGAGGATTTAAAAAAAACAAAAACGAGCCTTAGCTCTACCTTGACTCTAGGGGGCAGCCCAGGGGCACAGCTGTTTTCTGAGATATCATGGCTGTGGGATTGTTCAAATTACATCTGAGTCCTTGAGCAGGCCAAGGATCTTGGGTTTTACTCAGCAAGGCGTGAACAACTACTGACACAGTTGAGCAGGAAAATGACCAAAAGGTATGGTGTCTGGGAAATTATCATCATGCCAGCAAATGTGTAGGAGTTTGTAGGTTTCTGCTGCTACAGATAGGAAACGAAGTGCCCAAAGTAACGGGGTAGTTGAGTAGTGGGGCCTAGTGACCTAGTGCAGCAGGATGGCATGGGGGCAGGTAAATGAAGATGCTTTCGGTTGCGAGCTGTGTGGGGTGAGCCAGCCTCGCAATGGATATGATTTTTTTTTAAAATTGTATTTTAGAGGTGTCTAAAAAGTAGAGAAAGTAGCTGGGTGTTAAAAAATTGTCACATGGCCCTTGGAAATGTGAGAATGGTACTCAGGAAGTTTTGGCCTGCAGGTGTTGCATTTGAGAAAGATAGCAGAGAAATGGTGGAGTCTTTTGTATAGTTTTTACACTGGAAGACACCCTGGGGATTATGGAGTAGAGCAGTTCTTAAATTTTTGCTCTCTTTAAAAAATATATGTGTTTTCATTGATTTCTTTAGAAAGAGAGAAACATTGATGTGAGGTAGAACTGGGGATCAAGCCTACAACCCGGGCATGTGCCCTGATCAGGAATCGAACTGGGACCTCTCAGTCCATGAGACGATACTCAATCCACTGAGTCACACCAGCCGAGTTCCGATCTTTTTATACTTTTTAAAAATTGAGGACCCAAGCCCTGGCCAGTTTGGCTCAGCGATTAGAGCGTTGGCCTGCGGTCCGGAGAAACCCGGGTTCAGTTCCCGCTAAGGGCACTTACCTCGGTTGCAGTTTGTCCCCCACCCTGGTTGGTCGTGTGGGTGGCAGCCACTCGATGTGTCCCTTTCACATCGATGTTTCTCTCTCTCTCTCTCTTTTCCTCTCTCTCCCTCCCACTCTATCTGTACAAAAAGAAAATGGAAAAATGTCCTCGGGTGAGGATAAAAAAAAAAAAAATTGAGGACCCCAGCCCTGGCTGGTTTGGCTCAGCAGTTAGCATGTCGGCCCATGAACCAAAGAGTCGCAGGTTCGATTCCAGTCAAGGGTACGTACCTTGGTTGCAATTCAGTCCCCAACCAAGGTCATGGGAGAGGCAACCGATTGATATGTCTCTCAAATCGATGTCCCCCTCCCTCCCACCTGAAAATAAATGGAAAAATGGTGAGGATTTAAAAAATTTTTTTGAAGACCCTGGAGAGTTTTTGTTTGTGTGGATTATCTATTGCCATCTACTCTGTTAGAAATTAACACTTTTAGTTGATTAGGGATTTTTTGTTGTTGTTGTTCATTCTCACCTGAGGATATTTTTTCCATTGATTTTTTTTTTTTTTTTTTTTTTTTTTAAATCCTCACCCGAGGACATTTTTCCATGTTTTGTTCGGATAGAGTGAGAGAAAGAGAGAGAAACATCGACGTGAAAGGGACAATTGAGTGGTTGCCACCCACATGACGCAACCAGGACCAGGGACAAACTGCAACCGAGGTACGTGCCCTTAGCAGGAACCGAACCCAGGTCTCTCTGGACTGCAGGCCAACGCTCTAACCGCTGAGCCAAACCGGCCAGGGCTTTTCCATTGACTTTTAGAGAGAGTGGAAGGGAGCAGAAGAGGAGGGGGGGAGAGAAAGAGAGAGAGAGACATCAGAGAAACCTCAGTGTGAGAGAGACATTGATTGGCTGCCTCCCACATGCTCCACAGATGGGAAGCTCCCCGGCTGGGACCAGGAATCGAGCCTGTGAACTTTTGGTGCTCAGGCTGACTCTAATCACTGAGCAACACCAGCCAGGGCTTGGTTAGGAATTTTTTAAGTATTTAATTCATTTAAAAATAGAACCTATTACATAACACCCATAAATAACACATTTTATGAAAAATAACTTTTTCAAAAACAATTAGTACTTAGTGAGTATAAATGGCATTGTCGTTTTACTCTTTTTTTTTTTTTTTGTGACTCAAAGAAATAAGTGAACACATACAGCTAGATTCTTATTTCTGTTCCTGCCTTTACTCTGTTATATTACATTGTTTGATTGAAGTACATGAAGAGAATCCAGTTCCACTCCTGATAGGTAGTTGATAAAGGGAAGAAAAACAGCCTTGTCAAGTAATTGTGAAGTTCTTTTTGATATTATGCCAAAACTTAGCAAGTGAAAGTTTCTTAAAGATTAGTTGTGTGAAATATGAATACTTAGCACTGAAATGTGCATACTCTGACATTAGAATCAATTTGTCTGTTTTGTACTTTGAATGGATCTTTACCCTTGAATGATTTTCTTTATAACACGATCCTTTGGTCATCTGGATATTTGGCTCAGTAACTTATGCAGATCTTCCGAATGTTGGCATACTTCAGTATACAATAATATTTAAAATCACATTCTTTAACATCACTATGAATTTCTTCAAAAAAGTTTTGTAAATGTTGAGATGTTAAGCTCGTGTGGTAGATAAAAGTTTTTTCAGAATTCTAATTTTTTATGAGAGTCCAGTTTTTTTTTTAATGTGTTTATTGATTTTTTTTAGAGAGAGAGGAGGGGGTGGGGAGAGAGAGATAGAAGCATCTATGAGAGAGAAGCATCAACATAGATCAGTTACCTCCTGTACACCCCCTACTGGCAATCAAGCCTGCAACCCAGGCATGTGCCCTGAATGGGAATTGAACCAGTGACCTCTTGGTGCATAGGTCAGTGCCCAGCAACTGAGCCACACTGGCTGGGCAGAGTCCACATTTTATCTTTGGTAACAAATACTGTCATTTGTCCTTGAAGTAACTGGCCCACTTTATTCATTTTTGAGAAAATGCCTGCCACATACCCAGATCTGAATAATTATGACTTGTCTGTCAGTCTTTCCAGTTTTATATATTTCATTTAAAAAAAGAAAACAACAGTGACTTCAGCTCTCAACAAGTGCTTTATTGCAAGACAAGCATTGCATACAGCAGCAGAAGTGCTTTATACCAACTTCCCATTTTGTCATGCAGGATAAAAAACATGTAGCCAAGGGTTGAGGTTTAATAAAAGTAATAACTTTCACTACTTCATCAAGAATACTCATTTTTTTGTTAATCTTCACCTGAGAATATTTTTCCATTGAAATCGAGAGAGAATGGGGGTGGAGAGGAGAAAGAAACAAACATTGATGTGAGAGAGATGCATCGACTGGTTGGTTGTCTCCTCCACAACCCTGCCCAGGGCCAGGGATTGAACCTACACCCAAGTATGTGCCCTTGACCAGGAATCGAACCCACAACTCTTTGGTTCTCAGGCTGATGCTCAAACCAGTAAGCCAAACTGGCCAGGGCTGAAGAAGCAAACTTTGTGGCATTTTGCCTCATAATATGTATACAGTTTTTAGAAATGCCAATATTACTATGTTTTCATAAACCCTAGATTTGTAGCTTTAGACTATCCATGGAATCTGCTGAATGAGAACCCTTGGAACCTTTAAGGCTGGGAGGGAGATGATTCAGTCCCTCTCAGAAATGGCCCAGGCTTTCGTTTTTGAAGTGTCATTAAGCGGGGGGTGGTCTGGGTGCCTTATAAACAGTGTTGTTTTCTCATGCCTTCTAACTGTAGTCTTTAAGCCGGAAGAATTGCGGCAAGCCCTTATGCCAACCCTAGAAGCGCTGTATCGACAGGATCCAGAGTCCTTACCTTTTCGCCAGCCTGTAGATCCCCAGCTCCTAGGAATTCCAGTAAGTTCATATAGTAAAAATATATTATAACTTTACCAGTCTAACTCATGCGTGTCCATGTTGTTTCTTAAAATTGGGTAAAATAACTTAGTTTTGAAGGTTTTTCTATAAGTATTTTTAAAAAGTTTGCTACCAAAACAGTAATACACCTCTGTCTTACTGAAATGGGTGTTTTCCACCTGTTTTGTGAAGCCATAGGGTCTATGGAGGGGTTAGGGTGAGTCAGAAGGGAGCATGCCCTGGGTGCACCACCCACTTGCTCTGGCATACAGTCTCTGGCAACTTACTTTATATGTAGTGTTTTATGTAAGACTTTGTCTAAAAAATGAATTTAAAGAATTGGTGAACATCAGTTATAAAACACATGGGCCTTCTCTCACTTTGCTATTTCTGGGTAATCTTGCAAAGGCCATGGTGACCCAACAGATTCTATTAAGCTGTTTTTGTGTTTATCTTGGAATTTCATTTTGCTTAGTTGGACCAAGAGTGAATCTCTGGAAAAACATATTGTTTGATAAATTTGCTTACCATTGTAATTCAGTGCATGAAAATTCTTATTTTTAAAATCTTATATTAGCCCTGGCCGGTTTGGCTCAGCGGTTAGAGCGTCGGCCTGCGGTCCTGAGAGACCCGGTTCGGTTCCCGCCAAGGGCGCGTACCTCGGTTGCAGTTTGTCCCCGGCCCTGGTCGGTCGTGCGGGTGGCAGCCACTCGATGTGTTCCTTTCACGTCGATGTTTCTCTCTCTCTCTCTGTTCCTCTCTCTCCCTCCCACTCTACCTGAACAAAAAAATGGGAAAATGTCCTCGGGTGAGGATAAAAAAAAATAATAAATAAATAAATAAAATCTTATACTAAATAGTGCATTTTTTTGTCTTCTTTTTGTTTTTTTTAATCTTAAACCTGAGGACATGTTTTTATTGATTCTTAGGGAGAGAGAAACATTGATGTGAGAGAAACATTGATCAGTTGCCTCTCGTATGCACCCTAACTGGGGATTGAACCTGCAACCTTCTGGTGTATGGGATGGTGCTCCAATCAATTGAGCCTGAGCCACCCAGCCAGAACTAAACAGTGTCTTTTTTTTTTTTCTTTTTAATCCTCACCTGAGGACATTTTCACATTTATCTTCAGATAGAGCAGGAAGGGAGAGACGGGGGGGGAGAGAGAGAGAGAGAGAGAGAGAGAGAGAGAGAGAGAGAAACAGAGAAACATCGGCATGAGAGAGAGACACTGAGTGGCTGCCACCCACACGACCCCAACCAGGCCGGGGACAAACTGCAACCGAGGCACATGCCCTCAGGAGGGAACCGAACCCGGGTCTCTCTGGACCACGGGCCGACGCTCCAACTGCTGAGCCAAACCGGCCAGGGCAACAGCGTCTTTTATTAAACAAGTCTTTTAATTTTTTTTTTCTTTAACTTTGCCTGTGAAGGAATTTGATCACATTTGAAAATGTTAATTATAATTTTAGATAGTAAAATCAGAGGAAGATCAGAAGTTATTTTGTTTTCAATTCTCATTTCTTACTGTTGGAAACAGAAGTTGTTCTGGTACTTTCTATTTTATTTTAAGATAAGGCTGACATTTGGAATTTGAGGTACCCACTAGATTGAGACCATTTTGTCTTTAAGGATTATTTTGACATTGTGAAGAACCCTATGGACCTTTCTACCATCAAGCGAAAATTGGACACAGGGCAGTACCAAGAACCCTGGCAGTACGTGGATGATGTCTGGCTGATGTTCAACAATGCCTGGCTCTATAATCGCAAGACATCCCGGGTCTATAAGTTTTGCAGTAAATTGGCAGAGGTCTTTGAACAAGAAATTGACCCTGTTATGCAGTCTCTTGGATATTGCTGTGGACGCAAGGTACAGTTTAAACTTTTTCTGGACACTGAACTTTCCTGGTTAGTCCAGCAGTTTGATGGTATGATAGACTCAACAATTTGGCCACACGTGTGTGTTGGGAAGTGCCCAAATGGAATAAAAGAGTTGATTGCTTGAAACTATATAATGGATGATCAAAGCTGGAAGTGCTTTAGGGGGAAGGCCTTGGGTTAAGCATTTCTGGCCGCTCTTGTGTACATTCACTATCAGTAATACGTGTCTGTTAGACACTAATTCTTTCATGTTGAATCCAAAAGTGTCTTTAAATAGCTGTGAAAGTTGTTAGAAAACTGTCCAGTGAACCAACAAGTAATTTACTAGCTGAATCTAACCCTCCATAGTAGACTAAAATGTTACCTGACAATAAATGGGATATATTTTTAGTTTAGTATTTTCTCCTTTGCTTTCGCAGTATGAGTTTTCCCCACAGACTTTGTGCTGCTACGGGAAGCAGCTGTGTACAATTCCTCGAGATGCAGCCTACTACAGCTATCAGAATAGGTAAGCATTGGGCAGCTTCCTGAATTACAGGACAAAAGTCTTATGGCAAGGCATGTTTGTCTGCTTATAGCCCAGGTACATTATTTCGTTTCCTGACATTCCAATGAAAGGGGCTACAATTTCAGTGTTTTTTGGTCACTCAGATAGGTTCACAGTCTCTTAATTTTAAGGAATGCGTTTATGGTATAAAAATTTAAGCTCACAACTGCTTGCTGTACTACTTGAATACATTCTTTCTTAAGCCATGATCTAGATTCTAAAAGGTAATTGGAGTTGAGAGTAACTCTTAATAAAGATTGACCTCCCTTTTTCAAGATACTAACAAAGTTGAAATATTGTATTTACTAGTCCCCATGTAAATATTTGCTTAATTTGGTCTGGACAGTCTGATGGAAAGACTTGCATTAGTGTTAATTCATTAAATAAAACTATATAGACTTTTTGTTTTTAATTAGTAGTACAGTACAGAATGAGATTTGGTGTTTTTAAGGAGTTCAAGAAAAACTTTTCTATCTGAAGATGGCCATTTCAGGGTTTTGTGAGTGGTAGGTATGCTTGAGAAATGTTTGCCATTCTCTTCAAATGTTGATGGATTATAAAGAATGTTATCTCCTATCTTAAGTAGAGAGAGAATGAAAATATTTTTTGTTGTTGGTTCCCCACACAAATAAGGCTTTCATATTTTGGGGATTATTTTGAAAATTGTTTTAAGTAGCCACATATTGCCATAGAATGAGGCAGTATGCCTTGAAGCACAGGTTGTAAATCTTTGTCAAATTTAGTTACATTGCCTCCGTTTTATGAATCGACAACTAGATTCTTTATGCGACCACAAAAAAGCTTCATGCCTAAGTTCAAATATTAAATGTCAACATTAGAGTTTGTGATGTTTTGATTATTTTTATCTTGTTTGCTTAGTAATTACTTTATGTTCTGATACTTTGAAGAAGATAAGTAGAGGGCTTTTTATTATTGTTTGTTTAGAGGTCCATGCACAGGCTTGAATAATTTGGAATTTTGAAATTATTTTTCTTCCAATTATGTTTTTAAAGAATTTTAATTTTTTTAAAAAGTATATAACCATATTCAATGTTATTAATAACTTAAATCAAATTTCTACTTAAAAAAAAAACAAAAAAAAACTTCTTGACCTAAAAATTTTTAAGAAAACGTTTCTAAGCCTTGTCCGGCTCACTTACCTGAGTACTGTTTGGTGTAGTGAAATGCTGATGTGAGAGAAAAGATGGATGTCCCCAGAAAGGAACCTCTACTGGAATTGCAGCCTGTACAACTGTCATGCTGAAAATATTTCATATTTGGAATTTAATTTCTGTCTTAGGTTGTCCTCCTATCAATGGAAACGTTTTAAGACAAAGTTTGAAATTATACCACAGCCCCTTTGTAATGGAATCTCTCCCATAGTGACAAGTGTTCTGAAAGTTCTGGTCCATCCATTATAGTTTTAGCTTCGTAACCTTCAGCACATCCCACAGTGTATCAAGCTTAACCTTCTTGTTTGTGATATGGGCACAGTAACCCTTCCGTGACAGTCTCAGTTGTCAGTCTTTAATGAAATAATAAATAGTGTTTGGAAACTGTTATGTGCCAAGGAAAATATAATCATGAAATTTTAAGAGAATAGGTTAAAATACTCTAATAAAACGTCCCTGCTACTAGGTGGCCAAAACAGTTTGGGTATAGAAGGAAGAACAGGCAGCACATTGCTTACCACTATCTCTTAAAGTTTTGAGGCCTTTTCATTGTTGGTTTCATTCCGAGTCTTTTGGGACCCTGCCTTTGCTAATTTGCACAGATTCTGGTCATATTTAAGTTGAGAGCAATTAAAGTTCAATAAATTGATAGCATCATGGTACATTACTTACCCCTGGAGAAGGTTACTGATGGAGTGTAAACAGGATTGTTTTGAAAGTTCTGAAATATTCAATTTTAATTCTATATAGAGCTTCATTTTTACTGAACAAAGTAATGTATTTTTCTTAAGAATAGAAACAAATAAAAGTTGAATTTTTTAAGAATAACATTTTGTAAGTGTAGGCATATTACCTTAATCTCACTAAATGTGCTTTCTAGAATATTGAACTTGAAGAGATTAACATGTAATTATAAGAAAGCAATGGCCTAATTCTGTGTTGGACGTTTTAACTGCTTATATTTTTATTCTCAACTTTGACTATTTATGAACACTGTGCTGTTCTTATGAATCATTATTTTGGCACTTGTAGCCCTAAACTGTTTGGGCACTAAAACAATAGAAAATCCTAGAGACCATTTAAACAAGTGAAACCAATGTATAAAATAAATCTATGGTTATATTTTCACTTGTTTCCATACTTGAAAACTTGAAAGAAACTCATGTTGGGAAAACTGTTCTATAAATTTTCTAATTATTATCTATAGGTAAGATAGATGTTATCTATAGGTACCCCAGTTATTTGTATATACTGATATGGGACTTAAAACAATCTGCATTTGAAAATTACTCCATACATTAAATTATCCTTACAAATAAACTATGCAGTTACATTGTGTTAACTTTAGGTACCCAGATGTACATCATCATCAGATTATGTGAAGTATTTCTCCTTTATAATTCCATGTTCATCAAACTGCCTCCTTCACACAAGGCAGAATGTCAACTAGGCTTTTACAGTGAAAAGTGAATTTCTGAATCGATTTGTATTTCCAGGGTGAATAAAGTTTGGACTAAGTAATAAGATATGGGCCGTATGATGTTAACATTGTCACCCACTGATTGCCAGGGTTGTTGCAGCTTATTTGACCAGATGGGTGACCATGCTCCCTTCTGTCAACTGTGGTCATTTCTAGGAAGGTTATTAGAGTGAGTCCCTGGGCCCCCTCTTCCTCCCCTCAAAAATCTCAACAGGTTTGATTCTCCCATGTCTCTGGCATTGCTTTGGGACAGGCACTAGTGTGTGTTAATTCTCTGTCCCTCTCAGTTACTGATCCTGAGGTTTTTCAGGGATAGGAGTTAGTTACACACAGAGCATAGGTTTCTGCAGCCACTTCATGGGCAGCCACTCTGCCATCAATGATTTGTCCCAGGCTCGTTCACTCCATTGGAAAATAATGGGTTTATGATTCTTGTTTCCTAGATATTGCTGGACTTGATGTCCTGCTTGAACAAAAGCTAAGAATTTGTTCAAGATTTTAAAACCATTTAGAGGCTCGTATGTAATTATTGTGGCAGTTTTATTTCAAAATGTGTTCAGTGGTGCTTTTCTGGCTAGTCCACAGTGGCTGTGTCTTTAAACATAAAATGAATGGGAACACTCAATTCCTAGTTTTATTTTTTAAAAGGGAACTATTTTGCATGGACGGGATATCTTTTTTGCCTGTTGTTCTGGTTGCCACTGAATTGATTTATAGTTTCTGTACTTTCATTCTTTCTTGCCAAGAGATGATCATGTCCTCCTGCACATGAAAATTCTTTCACTACATGATTTTAAGTCTTCATAGGAATATTTACAAAGTAGTGAATAGCCAGAATATTGCTATGGTTCATTCAGGAGGAAAAAAAAGATAATATACAGGGGTGGGCAAAATAGGTTAAATTACGAACCATCATTACCTAAAACATAAATCATAAGTACTAGGATACAAAATAGTAATAAGAACACAAAGACAAATAATACAAATAAATAATACAATAATTAATAAGTACATAATAAATAAGCTTTGTTTCACATATTCACAACTATAAACCTACTTTTGCCCACCCCTGTATATATTCTGAAACAATGTAATCTGTTTGTTTCTGGTCAGGGTTTTTAATCTTGGCAGAATTCATTGATTTACTTAGTCCTAAATAAACAGGTCCCAACAAGAAACTTTCATTAATCCAATTGTTATCCACAGGAAATTTGTCATGTTCTTCATCAACAAAATGAAAAACTGTATAATCTTGGGGTGTGTGCATGCTCTAAAGTTTTATGCCTTTAATTTACTATATGCATTTAGCCAGTGAAACATAGCAAACAGAATGCTCAATGTGTTCAATTAAGATTAGAATTAGAACTTGTGGAGGACCTATTTTAGTAATGAAGAACAACTAGCCAGGTGGTGCTGACTCAATCATTTGTAGTGTGTGTGTGTGTGTACGCGCGCGTGTGCGTTGTGTGAGTGAAGCTGTAAGCTGCTGCATCTCCTTCTGTACTCTTGGTTCAGTGTGGCACTCCAAGTCTTGTCATAGTGTCTTTAACACTAATCCTCTTGGCATCTTGTAGACATAGTTTTGAGCACTAAAATTGCATTTTATTGTGCTGCCGTCACTACCTTATACTCATCCTTTTTGCTTGTATAAGTCACCTCCATTCTATTTTTACAGTATTGTGTGCCCATCTTGTTTTATGCAGCATCAGCGTGCACTTTTGTTGTTCTCATTCGTGTCCTTTCCAAACATTTAATAGTTTTTATTTTAATTGTTCTTATTTGATAGCTTGAGCCGAGGCTCTGTATTATCTTACAAGAAATTGGGGTTATGGATAATTTCTCAAATGCAGATTGTGCTTTAAAGATTAACTCTCTAAATTTGCTTAACTTGGATTGTCACCAAGTCAGAGCATCTCAGATTGATGAATGATCGGTCCCAGTACCAAAAAGTTTAAATCAAAGCTTAGAGTTGAATTTTAAGTCTTTAATATTGTTTGTGGATTTACATATATTGTATTGTTTATACAATATATCACAGTTTTTTCTTTGTATATTCTTATTGATAAATGGCTGGAAAGTCTTTGACCCCGATTGCATTTCTGTTAAATGTTTGTCTAGAATATGGATTTGGTTTCATTTGTATTGTAACCCAATTAAGTGATTAACATGAGAAAAAAGATGGGAAAAAAATTAAAACCAGTTTTGGGTGCTGAACATTTTTTATACCTTTAAAGATCTGGCTGAAATACCAGAAATAAAATCTCTGAATTGCTGTCAAGCATAAATTTTCCATTTTGAAAAATAAGCTTTTTCTGTTTAAATTGTTTTTTTAAGGCCTTTTGTCAGACTGTTTTGTTCAATGTAAATTTTTTCCATTTCAAACCCTGAAATTATATTTGATTTTCTCTAAGTAATAACAAAATCCAAACGTCTAAATTTAAGCTCCTTATAATTCTAGTATTAACAACTCTTTGCAAACATTTGCATCTTGGAGCTGAACTGAGCCCTGTCGTTGTTAGTGATGATGGCCTGTGATGTGTGCAATGAGACCGAATGCTAATCAATGCTTTGCCTTGGCTTTCTGCTCTGTGTTGTCTTGGTGTTTGCGTCTTACCTCTATGTCTGTGCTATTTGTTCCCTTCCCTGTTCTCTAATCCTGCCCTTCCCCACCTGCCCCTGTTCCTCTCATTGTTCTCACTGACCCATCAATCAACCAACAACGCCCCCCCTTCGTCGTGGTGATCTGCCCTGCTCTGATTGGTGGCTTCGTTGCTTGGGTGGCTGTGTGTTATGATGGACCAGTTCACCCAAGTATGGCCTTCTTGCTGACAGGTATCATTTTTGTGAGAAGTGTTTCACAGAGATCCAGGGGGAGAATGTTACCCTGGGTGACGACCCTTCACAACCCCAAACGTAAGTACCATCCTGTCATTTTTCTTGGGGGTTACTCTTTAATTATTTTTGTTTCTTGTTCATAAGTAAAAGGGAAGTACCACTGCTGTTTTGACTTGTTTGTAGTATATTATATCATATTAACTATTCTCACATTCATACTTTACATGTAGCTGTTTTAGCTGAACACCAGTGCCACTTCCGTGTTCTTCCCTGCACTCAAGACTGTGATGCCATGCAGTTCACTGGTCTCTCTTGACCGTGTTGTGACCCTTCTTTTATTTATTTTTTTTCTTTATTGATTTTTAGAGAGAGGGAGAGGAGGAAGAGGGAGAGAAAGATAGAAACATCGATGAGAAAGAATATTGATTGGCTGCCTCCTGCATGCCCCCCAATGGGGATTTGGCCTACAACCTGGGCATATGCCCTGACCAGGAATCAAACTGGCGACCTCTAGGTGCATGGGTCAACGCTCAACCATTGAGCCACACCGGCCAGGCTGACCTTTCTTTTAAAACACTTGGCTTTTCCTAGTGGCTGTCATCCTCCATTTTGGGAAATTGTGGATTTTCTGTTACACCTAAGAAACCAGGTAACCCTATTCACAGAACTGGCAGTAGCAAAAAAAAAAATGGGTCTTGTATACCTACCTTCATCTTGATCTTTTAAGTTGTGAAGCAAATAGAACACAGATAATGAGCTCCCAGAGTGTGAATGTATCTCCTTCCTTGCTGGAGACTTGACTCTTGCTCACTAGGTCCAATGCAGACAGGCCTGAGTTGGCTCATTCATTCCTTCACTGAGTCTACCTTTTCGTCCCGTTGCCTGCCTTCTGTGGTCAGCTCATTTATATGCTTGAGATGCCTGAAAACCTGGCAGCCACCATGTCTGCCCAGGACTACTAGTGTTCTGGATTCTCTCTTTTCTCTGGACTCTGCCATGATTCCTACCACACTGGCTAGACTGCTAGTGCAATGTCCCCCCACAGGCAACAGGGCCTCCCACTAAAGCAGTTTCCAGCAATGTAGGACACTTACTCTATGACACATGGTTCCTTTATTCTAATGCAAAACAAACCATAGCCACTTACATGACATACAAACCAAAATGACAGATAGTTTACCTATTCAATTTATTTTTCTATTCCTTGTCATCTTAATCTTTTGGTCCTATTGTATGATTAATAATTGGATTGTATAATTCTGTAAATCAGAAGTAATTCACATATACACTGATCATAACAAAAGGACAGTAGAAACCAAATACTCAGCCTTTTAAGAGTAAAATAGCCTCACCCTGGCCAGTTTGGCTCAGCGGTTAGAGCGTCGGCCTGCGGTCCAGAGAGACCCGGGTTTGGTTTCCACTAAGGGCACGTACCTCGGTTGCAGTTTGTCCCCGGCCCTGGTTGGTCATGCGGGTGGCAGCCACTCGATGTGTCCCTTTCACGTCAATGTTTCTCTCTCTCCCTCCCACTCTGTTTGAACAAAAAATAGAAAAAGGTCCTCTGGTGAGGATTTAAAAAAAAAAAAAAAAGGTAAAATATCCTCAGGTAGATGCTGACCTTGTATCATTGAGGGAATATTATAATTAAAAGAACTGGTTATGTCCTGGCTGGGTGACTCGATTGGAGCATTGTCCTATACACCAAAAAGGTTTTAGGTTCAATTCCCGGTCAGGGCGCCTATGTGGGGTGGGGGGCAACCGATTGATGTTTCTCTCTCCCTCCCTATTTCTCTCTCTAAAAATCAATTTTAGCCCTGGCCGGTTTGGCTCAGCGGTTAGAGCGTCGGCCTGTGGTCCCGAGAGACCCGGGTTCGGTTCCCGCTAAGGGCATGTACCTCGGTTGCAGTTTGTCCCTGGCCCTGGTTGGTCGTGCTGGTGGCAGCCACTCGATATGTCCCTTCACGTCGATGTTTCTCTCTCTCTCTCTTCCTCTCTCTCCCTCCCACTCTATCTGAACAAAAAATGTCCTCGGGTGAGGATAAAAAAAAAAAAAAAAAAAAAATCAGTAAAAATCAATTTTAAAAAAACTGCTTACACCAGTTATCAGTTAAATCCAGTAGCCACTCACTATGTAGATTTGATTGAAAATTAACAGGTTTTAATTTCAACACAATCTTGCCGTCATATTTTGACTAGTCCTAATTAAATCTTGTAATAAGTGTTGGTGATAGTGAGGAGGAAATATTCTGAGAAAGAGAAAAATAAATGGTAATGCTTTCTGTAGAATTGAATTTTATATGTCCATGCCATCATTGCATTTACTTGAGATTTTAGCCGACCATTACTTTCATTTGAAGAACTAGTAATAAAATAATATCCCAGAAACTGTAGTTTATACTCAACAGATAATTCAGTTAATTAACATTTTTTTATTTTTTTTAAACAAGGACAATTTCGAAGGATCAGTTTGAAAAGAAGAAAAATGATACCTTAGATCCTGAACCGTGAGTATATAGCTATTTCTTTCTGTCTTTTAGATTTTAGTTTCGGGTCAGGGAATTTTCTCCTTATGATTGAGTTGTGGGAGCAGACATGATAATACTTTGCCTTTGGTGGAATTTTATTGTGTGAAGTTATTTTAGATATGAATTATTCTTTAACTCACACAAAATATGTATGTCTCTGTGACATGTTCTTCAATTACTGAATTTTAACAGTGATAAGATTTAGATGGATGTTTGGTTCTATTAGAACCTCTCTAGTAAGTTGGTCATTGGTGTTTTTAAGAAGCCATTTAGTGTGAATCTTTAGAAACCAAAGGTAGGAATATTTGGTGGAGTATTGCTAGGGAAATTAAAAAACAAAAACCGCCCTGGCCAGTTTGGCTCAGAGGTTGGAGCATCAGCCTGTGGACCAGAGGAGAGTCCCGGGTTTGGTTCTCACTAGGGGCACATACCAAAAAACAAAACAAACAAACAGAATACTCTTAGAAACCACTTTGTGAAAATAAATAATGGGAAGCCTGATGTATGTTTTTGCCACTGTTTTTGGTATGGTGTATTTTCAAAGGGCATTGTCAGATATTTGAATTTCCTTCAGTGCTCTGTGAGAATGCTGTGTTTGCAAAGTTTGCTTTGTGATAGTCCCTAACAAGGCTTCAGAGCTCCTTCAATATGGCATCCCCTTTCAGGTTCCCAAAACCAAGTCCTGAGAGCATCTCAGTGTGTGGAGAGGCCCCTTGTGTTCTATCCCTATGGTGAATGCCCTTTCAGAGCTGCTTGGTGAACACAGGCTCCAGCACCATTGGGTATTTGGGAAGTGTGGCTGTGGTGCGTCCAGAACTGAGAAACAGGTCCTCCCCTCTCTTGGCCCAACCCTCCAGCTTTAAGAAAGCCTATTGCTGCAGTGGAACACACAGACTTTCCACCCAGGCTTCATTTTGAAACCTGACTTTATTTTGGGGAGCTTACTTGTCTCCTACTAGCAGTGCCCAGACTGGGTACACATTGACTGCCAGAGCTCCAGCCTGAGCAAAATGCCTAGTGCATGAGGGAGTACCTCCCCAGGGCTTTAATGACCAGTGGATTGTTTATCCTGGTTGTCTAGTTCCCTATTCATATATGTTCTCCCCTGTTGTTTTTCAGTTTCACGATGATTTATATTCATCTTTCAATTTCAAAATAGATTATACTGGAATATTCATTGCTAGGCAGTGGGCAACACAGGTGAATCAAGGCAGGGGGCTTTGTCCTGCAGTACAAGAGACAGATGGATTGTGGCACAGACAGCAGGAGGCAGTAAGATGGTCCAGAGTTGAGGGGTCCTGTTCTAAGGCATAATGGTATTCCAGAAAAGGTGACACATCTGGGAGCAGGTGTTGGGAAGAGTAAGAGTATTCTAGACACAAAGGAGTGAAGGAACATAAGATACTCAACAGCACCACAGGTAAGCTCAAGTGGTTGAGAGGTAGGGGAAGTGGATGGAGCCCCATGAGATGTGGAGGAAAGGCACTAGGTGCAGAGCCCCTTACACTGCTCTTTGACTTGTAGATTTTCTCCTGGGTGTGCTGGGAGGTTTGGGGGGATATCATTGGCTTCTGTTACGAAAAGATCACCCTGGATCTATGAGGTGGATTCACCAAAGAGGGAGACTTTGCTCCCTAGTAGAGAAGGTAGTTTGCTCTCTAGTAGGGAAGCAGCTTAGGCAGGAAGTGGAAAGCCAACCTGAATAGCTTTCTGGTGGAAAAGACTACATTGGGAGGTGAGGAAAGGGCCAATCCAGATGGTAGCTAGCGGGTGAGGAAAGGGCCAGTCTAGGTGGCAGTTTAGGTAACCGCATGAATAAAAACACAAGAAGGAGAGTCAACCAATTGGTTAGTAATAGAAGGGGAGAGAGGTCGAAATTCAAAATTGATAGACGGGTCTAGAACCATATATCCTTTTTTTTTTTTAAATTCCTCTTCCTTGACATTGAAGGGAAGGACTTAAGAATGTGAATGTCTTTGGAGCAGGCACAGAAACTGAGGAAGTTATTGCCTACTGACCTTTTAAATTCTTAACCGAGCTCAACTGCTGAAATTTCAGAGAAGGAGCTGGTTGGCAGTGATGGAGTCCTTGGGGAGGGAGTGAAGGTTCAGCATGGGGTTGCCAGAGTATACTCAAGACAGCCAGTTAATGGTGGTGGTGATTTGCACAGTTTTGCATGTGTGTCCTCCAGCAGAGCAGGAACAGAGAAGCTGGGTTAGACTCGATTTGTGGTTGAAGCCTTGCTCAGCAAGGACAGTGGAAAGATTGGGGGCTTGATAGACAATAGTGAATGCTTGTGTCAGGGAACAGGCTCAGTATCCAGGCTTATTGGAAGAGCCTGAACTCGAGAATTTGGGGGAAATGTACTTTTAATAGGTTTTGACCTTTAATTAAGTATGTTCGCAATTAAGCTTTCCAGGTGAGCTTGGATGGGGACTGCAGCAGAGTGGGCAAGTGCTCAGTATCCCCTTGCTCTCCAGTGTTTACTTGAATAAGGACTGCCATTTACCAGTCAGCTTGGGACTTCCCACCTTTGTGACTAAGAACAGACATTTCTTGTGCTTAGGCATAAGAATAAGTGTTTATGCCCTGGCCGGTTTGGCTCAACGGTTAGAGCCATCGGCCCGCGGACTAGAGAATCCTGGGTTCAGTTCCCGCTCAGGGCACGTACCTCCATTGTAGTTTGTCCCCGGCCATGGTTGGGATCGTGTGGGTGGCAACCACTCGATGTGTCTCTTTCACATCAATGTTTCTCTCTCTCTCTTTCTCCTTCTCTCCTTCCTGCTCTATCTGAAGATAAATGCGCAAAAAAAAAAAAAAGTCAAGTGAGGATAAAAATAAATAAATGTTTATAACACTGAAAGTAATTGTTCTCTGTTACTAAAGTCAGTTTAGGCATGTGCAGTTTCTTAGGGCAAGTGTTGGTCTTCAAGATGTGTAGTACTGTCAGAAATACTGGCCCATAAAATGTACCTTTATTATAGCACTTTTTAAAAGTAGGGTTCGTGCCCTGGCCAGTATGGTTCAGCGGTTAGAGCGTCGGCCTGCAGTCTGGAGAGACCTGGGTTTGGTTCCCGCTAAGGGCGTGAACCTTGGTTGCAGTTTGCCCCTGACCCTGGTTGGTCGTGCGGGCGGCAGCCACTTGATGTGTCCCTTTCACGTTGATGTTTCTCTCTCTTCCTCTCTCTCTCTCTCCTACTCTATCTGAACAAAAAATGGGAAAATGTCCTCAGATGAGGATAAAAAAATAAAAAATAAATAAAAGTAGGGTTTGTTCCTGATTACAAAGGAGATTGGGAGAAGAGGAATGAGGCATGTTCAAAGAAGGGGAAAAAGTCAGCTTTTTCTACAGAAAATATACTGGTGCATTTTTAAAGTACAACTGAATCAGTCAACAGATGCATTAATGCCAGATGCTCGAAGTAATCAAGAGGAAAAGGTGTGAACAGACCACTCTGTTGTGTGGTTCTGTGTGCATTTCAGTGTGCTTTCTTTGTCTTCTAGTTTTGTTGATTGCAAGGAGTGTGGCCGGAAGATGCATCAGATTTGTGTTTTACACTATGATATCATTTGGCCGTCAGGGTGAGTAATTTCCTGTGTTCTTGGGAAAAGTAAAGCAGTTTTGCAGATTGGAGGGGAGGGTGCCTGCTGCTGCTGCTGCTTCTGCTGCTGCATTTCATTCATTGTTGTCAGCAAGAATTCAGCAATTAAGATAGATGGCAGTTGGTTCTAAATTTTAAGTCTTAACTGTGTTTGCCTGCTTTAGGAATTGTAGAATCAAAGCAGTCTGCCTCTTCACTTTTGTATAATGATGTGATTTAAACTGCCAATGAAGTATTTTAATGCTGCATTTCCCTAGTTTGGCAACGTATACTGTTTTATATAATCTGATCACGCCCATTATGTTTTTACAGCTTTGTGTGTGACAACTGCTTAAAGAAAACTGGCAGGACTCGAAAAGAAAACAAATTCAGTGCTAAGAGTAAGTTGTGAAAGGATTTCTGTCTCCTGGTCTGTATATTGTAGAAGTTTGTATAATTATCCAGTTTTCCTTTGGTTCCTCAACACGTGGCTCTAAAGCTAATTTATCTGTGAGTTTGTATTTTTCTTGTCTTCCCCTAAAGAGAACCATTTGACCTGATCATTATGTCAGAATCAGCTTTATGATCAATCTATGTTTGAGATGAAAGTTTAGAAAGCTTAGATATATAGGAAACTGTAAATTCTGAGAGAGCAAGTTTGTCAGCAGATCCTTCTCAAGGAGCTTAGACCTCCTCCAAAACACACACGCTCGTGTGCACACACACGCTCGTGTGCGTGCGCATGCGCGCGCGCTCTCTCTCTCTCTCTCTCTCTGTATCTCTATCTCTACCTCTATCTCTATCTCTCTGATGTTCTGTCTGGGACCTTGTATGGGGAGCTGCTTGCCCATTACTAGCTATGGACCCTGCTGTTGTGAGGGGTGACCCTCTTGGGTTCCCCGGGAATTGGCCACCATCCACCCAGGATTGGTAGGAGCCTAGTCTGCACAAAGACTTGTTGGGAATGTCACTGCTGCATTTAGAGTGGCTGTTACTATCTGTTTATGATAGCAGTCCATTGCTACTAAAAGTAACTTTTCATAAGTAGTTCTGATTTTTTTTTTTAACAGCTGTCATTCTTTTCAAAAGCGTATGATATGTAACCTTTTTCACTTGGTTCTCAAGTAGTGGGGCCACCTTCCACAGCATGGCCTTCCCAGGCTGTCCTTTTACTGAGTTAAATTTTTTTTCTCTATTGATTTTTAGAGAGGAAGAGAGGGGAGAGACAGATAGAAACATCGATGAGAGAGAACATCAAGGGGCCGCCTCCTGCATGCCCGGCACTGGGGGTTGGGCCAGCGACCTCTTGGTACATGAGTTGACGCTCACCCACTGAGCTACACCAGCCAGGCCCTTTGGCTGAGTTGATAACGAACCTGGATAGGAAAGCTACCTGCAGCAGAGCCTTAAAGCATACCTACCCAGTACTCCCTGCAGCTCTCACCTTTTTCCAGCAGAACAAGTGACTGGCACTCTGCTCAGGATGTCCACAGCAAGCCTGAGGCCATCTGAAGTGCTGGGAACAGAAGAGAGGGAGAATGGAGGGAGAGAACACATGCAGGGTGAAGAAGGGGAAGTGAAGCAGGCAAGGAGGAAACCACTCCATAGGCTTCCAAGTCATTGTCAATTCAAGTTTAAACTCTGTAGTTACTAAAATCTATAGTTATCCTATATCTTAAACTCATTTTTGTAAAACATTTTGAAATGCTGAGGAACTCTTTGCCTATTGTAATATTTCTCTTTAGATTCGAGTTTCTCAGCTGAGCCACTGTTGACAGTCGGGACCAGATAATTCTTTGTTATGATAGCTGTCCCGTGCTTTGTAGAATTTTAGCAGCGTCCCTGGCCTTGGTCCACTAGATCAGTGACACTACCCCTACCCTCACCCTCATGAGTGGTGACCATCAGAAATATCTCCAGACCTTTCCAGATGTGCCCTGAAGGGGCACATTTGCCCCCAGGTGAAAAGCCCTACTTTAGAGGATCCATTCTGAGTAAGGTCACTAAAGTAGGTCAGCAACTTAGAAACACTTGCCTAGGCCATAGCTGTGGTGATCAAATGAAATTACCAGGAGAGTTAGGCCTCACTAGAAGAGTAGCTTCAGCTGGAAGGCAAAAGGGTAGAGATGGGGGTATGGGGGTCACAGAAGAGTTCAAGAGCTGGCCCAGCTCCCACACCACCCCAGTGTCCAGAGAATAGTAGAGAAAGACACATGGACCTTTGATAGATGATCTTTAGGGTTTAAGATCGAGGATATTTGCTTACAGAAAAGGACCTCAGAAGTCTAGTGTCAGTGACCCCTTATATTTTGGTTTGAATAGTCTTTGCGAGTTTTGTAGATCACAAAGAAAAGTTGGCCTCATTCATATTTACACTGAGTACTAGAAATGTCTTTCAGCTGCTAATCAGTGAATGATAGTCACAACTGACCATCCACCCAAAGCCACCTCCCTACCTTACACCACACATGTAACTCAACTTCGGGTGGTTAAAGGGAACACCTGCAAATGCACTCAAGGTCACAGTAAGAGTGTTTTTACTATGTTGGGTTATTAAAAACCTTCCTAAAAAAAAAAGAAGAAGAAGAATGAGAAAGCAATAGGCTAAAGGATTTGATCACAGAAAGAGAAATAAAAATACATGCCACCCCACCCCCATCCCCCACCAAGGCTGGAGGAAGGGCCTGCTGCATAAATACCGGGAGACCTGAAATACCTTCATGTGTGCATCACATGGATGAGAATCGCTCTGCTTTCCTCCAGGAGAAATTGCATCCCCAGTTATTTGTATCTCTGAGCTTGTGCTGGCTGCTTTCTGTTTTCATTGTACCTTCCTATATGTAATACCTGTGCTCTTCTCATGGGGAGCAGCTCTCCAGCCCTCTTTACATTTCACAGTACTCAGTTTGGTGCTTATTGTCACAGATTGTCTTAAGTATCTCGTTTTTTAGTGCAGGTAACTCAGGTGATTTGAAGAAAAAAGTAAAGGCCTAGTTTTATTTTATTTATTAGTTCCGTTTATTGATTTTTAGAGAGAGAGGGAAAGAGAAACACTGATGTGAGAGCAAGCGTAACATAAATTGGCTTCCTCCCAAAAACCTCCACACCAGGGATTGAGCCCAAAACCCAGTCATTCCCTTGACCAGGAATCAAACCGGCAACCTCCTGGTGGTGTACAGAACAACGCCCAGCCTACTTAGCCACACTGGCCAAGGCAAAAGACCTAATTTTAAAGGTCCTTCCATTTGCTTTTTGAAAATCATAGTATGTGGGTCATATTTTCATAAGGAAAGGGGGATTCCCTCACTACAGTGGCCCGTGTTAGCTGTGTCCTCCCTTCTGAATTGGAAACTGCCTCATGAGGGAACAAAACGTACTCAGCAGCAGCATGGAGAGGGAATGGGGGAACACAGACAACAACATGAAACTTTTCTTCAGGGACTTCACAAAGACAAGACAAGTTGGCCTGTGGGTCCCTTGCAGCTAATGTTGCATTTCTCAGGATAGCTGTCTCAGGTATGGGGTATGCATAATATAAGAGGTCCAGAGTGTACAGGGTACATCTTCATCAGCATGTACTATAGATCACAAATCCACTCCCACTCATTTTTATAGCTTTTCAAGTTTTTATTTTCCTGTGAGGTTTTTATTTTATTGCCATTGTATTTTTTTTCCTTTTTAAATCATTTTTCTTGAGGTGTAACGTACATCAAAAAAACTCTACCACTGGTATGTTTATTGTAGAAAAGTGGAATTAGTCTAAATGTTCCATATATTTCTTAACCTCAGTTAAGAATCTTCTGAAATGCTAAATAGCTTTTAAGAAACATTTCTGCCCTGGCCGGTTTGGCTCAGCGGTTAGAGCGTCGACCTGCGGTCCGGAGAGACCCGGGTTCGGTTCCCGCTAAGGGCACGTACTTCGGTTGCAGTTTGTCCCCGGCCCTGGTTGGTCGTGCAGATGGCAGCCACTCGATGTGTCCCTTCACGTCGATGTTTCTCTCACTCTCTCTCTCTTCCTCTCTCTCCCTCCCACTCTATCTGTACAAAAAATGGAAAAATATCTTCGGGTGAGGATAAAAAAAAAAAAAAGAAACATTTCTTACTTGGCTGGTGTGGCTCAGTTGAGTGCCATCCCATGCACCAAGAGAGGTCATAGGTACCCATCAGGGCACATGTAGTTGGGTTTGATCCCCATAGGGGGTGTGCAGGAGGCAGTCGATTGATGTTTCTCTCTCACCAATGTTTTTATCTGTCTCCTTCTCCCTTCCTCTCTCTCTAAAAAATCAATTAAAAAAATAAAACAGCCCTGGCCAGTTTGGCTCAGCGATTAGAGCATTGGCCTGCAGACCAAGAAGTCTCGGGTTCAGTTTCCGCTAAGGGCACATACCTCGGTTGTGGTTTGTCCCCAGCCTCAGTTGGGGTCATGTGTGTGGCAGCCAGTGGCTGTGTCTTCCTCACATTGATGTTTCTCTCTCTCTCTCTCACCCCCTCTCTCCCTCCCGCTCTATCTGAAGATAAATGCAAAAAAAAAATGTCCTTGGGTGAGGACATTTTTTTTCTCATTAGTGTTGTAAATATTTTTATTTATCCTCACTCAAGGATATTTTTCCATTGATTTTCAGATAGAGAGGGAGGGAGGGAGGGAGGGAGAGAAACATTGATTGGTTGCCTCCTACACGACCCCAACCAGGGCCAGGGATCGAACTGCAACCGAGGTATGTGCCCTTGACCAGAATGGAACTTGTGACTCTTTAGTCTGAGGGTTGATGCTCTAACTGTGGACCCAAACTGACCAGGGCTTGTAAATAGTTAAAAATCAATAAATATAAAGAAAAAGCTTTAAAATCTCATTATATATAAATAATCGTTATGAACCTTGTGTTACTCTCACTGTTAGTCTTTTTCCTGTGTGCAAGGAGTTTTTTAATGCTGTGACTAATGTTATGCCTCTGGGTAGCTTGCTCTATATCCCCTGTCACAGTGGGCCATGCCTGGGCAGTCCCTCGGAGAAAGGGTTGTGGAAGGGAGGAGGAGCCTACCCTGGAATGGAGCTGGGGCAGGTCTGGGTACCAAGACAGTGTCCGTGTGCTTGCCCTGATAGGAACACACAGAATCAGTTGGCCTTGGGATGTTCTGACCATGCGCTCTGTCTTAACTCTGTAGTGGGGACTCTCTCAAAGCTGGGCAGAAAGGGAAGAATGAGTCAAGGAATTCATGTTCACCAACCCTGCCCTCTTCCAGGAAAAACAGTGGCAGGCTCCTTGCTTCCATTAGAGTTGTGGTGTTGCACAGCTGTGAACCTGAACAGCCATGTGTGGGAGTACCCAGGACCAGCTCTCTGCCTCACTAGGGCCTTGGAGGGGGCGAGCAAAAGGCTGATGGGCACGGCATGGCTCTCCTCATGACTGCCTCTCCCACTTTACTCCACAGCCCATCTTCTTTCAGATTCAGGTCCACCTTCATGGCTCTTCTGCCACTTATAATTCAAAAAAGACAGAACTATCTGGGCCCTTGATGGCAACTTTTCAGGTGTAGAATGCTTGTGATCCCAGAGTACCCCTTTCCTTCATAAAACACTCACCTCATAGGACAGACTGGAGCCCTTCTAGATTTAGAGAACATTCTTTTATTTTTATCTTCGCCCAATGATGTTTGTATTGATTTTGAGAAGGGGGGGGTGGCGGCGTCAAGAGAGAAACAGCAATTGGTTGCCTCTCCTATGCACCCCAACCGGGCATTGAACCTGCAACTTAGGTATGTGCCCTGACCGGAAATCGAACCCACAATCTTATGGTGTATGGGATGACGGTCCAACCAAATGAGCCATCCTGCCAGGGCAGAATGTTAATTTTTTTTAAATATATCAGACTGCCCTGAAGGAAAAAGGTGCATTCTTTGGCCTCGGTTGCCTTCTCCATAGTCCTTCTGAAGCCCTCTCACCTGCTCGTACTAAACTTTTCAGGACTGCAGACCACACGGTTGGGAAACCACTTAGAAGACCGAGTCAACAAGTTTTTGCGGCGACAGAATCATCCTGAAGCCGGGGAAGTCTTTGTTCGAGTGGTGGCCAGCTCAGACAAGACTGTGGAGGTCAAGCCTGGGATGAAATCACGGTTTGTGTGCAGACATTGTGCCATTTTCTAAAACAGCACTGTTCCAGTATTTACCCCACCTCGCTAACAAAAGCCCTGCTTTCTGGCAAGGCTTTTGCATAATTTAAAGGCTTTTCAGTGGTTAGTATGTAGCAGATCTTTCTCTCCATCCCAAATTCATTAGAGAAGGTAAAACTCCCAGTCGCGGGAAAGTGTCACAAGGAATGGGATCACAAATCCAAGCTGCTTGGGCCAGTGGGAAGGGAAGAGTTCTGGGCTGGTAGTCAGAAGAAGTGACAGGCCTTTATGTCCTCTGTCCTAAGCGGGTTTAGAGCAGTACATCTAGATTGGAAAGTACCTTATAAACAATGATGCGTGCAAATATTATATTCTGACTTTTGTTTCAGGTTTGTGGACTCTGGGGAAATGTCTGAATCTTTCCCATATCGAACCAAAGCTCTCTTTGCTTTTGAGGAAATTGATGGAGTGGATGTATGCTTCTTTGGGATGCATGTCCAAGAATATGGCTCTGATTGCCCCCCTCCAAACACAAGGTAGTCCTCTATCTCTTTTTAGGGGGCGTTATTCTGTTATAACAGACTGAGGCTCTGTGTGTCTTAGAGAACCTATGTACTTTAGAGCTGGGTTTAAATGAAATAATCCAGGCTTGATTAACCAAACTAATTAGTTTAGGTTTCCTCTAAGCCAGTGAAAAGTCAAGGGTTTTTAACAACTATTTCAAGTCTGTTTTGTGTTTTGAGTTCTTGTGGGTACTGGTTCCGGTCTTGCTGTTGTCCCTGTCTTAACTTGGGGCAGGTAGACCCACAGAGAATGGGTTGGGGACCACTCCATGAGCCTGGACATTCTCTGATACACCTAGAAAAATGAAGCACCTCTGTGAAGAGTTCTTTCATGTTCATTCTAGAATCTGGGTGAGAGGGAATTGAAGAAAAGGCTTTTCTTAGTTTGCCCTGATCTTTCCATGGTTCTCCATGGTGAATGATGCCAGTGCTTCGCAGTTTGGTGATAGAATTGGAGTTCATTTTATTGATTGGCAGTGGCAGTTGGCAGTGGAAGTTTTCTTATGTTTGTGGCCAGTGTAAATGCTATCAAAACAAAATTTATTTCTGTAGCTTCTTTTAAATGGTGTTTGCTTTCAAGTTTGGGGGGGGTACCCTGAACTTTCAATTAATTTCTCTCCCCTACCCCACTCCCAGGCGTGTATATATATCTTATCTGGACAGTATTCATTTCTTCCGGCCCCGATGCCTTCGGACTGCCGTTTACCATGAGATCCTTATTGGATATTTAGAATATGTGAAGAAATTGGGGTGAGTTGCATTCAAATTTTCTAGAACTAATAAAAGCTGTTTTTCATTTCCACCATATGTTTAATTTGTGAAATAATGAGAGTGTTTCTATTTTAACATCCTTTGCTGGATTCTGAAGTCTCCAGAGCTCCTCTAGGTGCTCTCAGGACTTCTCAGCACAGTGCATGTGCTTTTCCTGCCTTCTGCATTCTTTCAGTTATTTTTCCATTCTCGTTTCTTTTTAAAACAAATTTTATTGAAGTATATTTTATACATTATAAATTCACCTATTTCAGGTGTACACTTCACTGACTTTTAGCAACTTTATGGAGTGGTGTAACCAGCACCAGTAATCAGTCTCAGAACATTGTCATCCCCCAGTAAGATCCCCATGCCCATTTGCTGTTAATCCCTGTTCCACACTGCCCCCATCGACCACTAATCTACTTTCTGTCCCCATAAATTTGCCTTTTCTGGGTGTTACATATGAATGGAAACCTCCAAGCTGTAGTCTCTTGCATATGACTTTTTTCTCTTACCACTGTTGTTGTGTTCTAGATCTGTCATATTCCTTTCCCAATTTTGAAAAAATTGGAGGTTTGATTTAAGTGTCTTAAACAGAATAAGATTTATTTTAACTTTAACCCTTAACAGGAAATACCCTTTTCTATGTGCAGAAGAAAATAGATAAGAAATTCAGTGCAGCACTGGCCAGTTTGGCTCAGCAGTTAGAGTGTCGGCCCATGGTTAGTGTCAGCCCACGGACCAGAGAGTCCCAGGTTTGGTTAAGGCAGTGATTCTCAACCTTCCTAATGTTACGACCCTTTAATACAGTTTCTCGTGTTGTGGTGACCCCCAACCATAAAATTATTGTCATTGCTACTTCATAACTGTAATTTTGCTGTTGTTATGTCTTAGGCGACCCCTGTGAAAGGGTCATTCGACCCCCAAAGGGGTCACAACCCACAGGTTGAGACCGCTGCAAGGGCACGTACCTCGGTTGCAGTTTGTCCCCGGCCCCGTGTTGGGGTTGTGTGGGTTGCAGCCAGTCGATATGTCTCTCTCACATTGATGTTTCTCTCTCTCCCTCCCCCTCCTCTATCTTAAGATAAATGCAAAAATATCCTCAGGTGAGGATAAAGAAAGAAAGAAAGAAAAAAAGAAAAAAGAAATCCAGTGCGTCCCTAGGTAGAAGCCATCTGATACACCTGATGAGTCTGTCTCCCCAGGCTTTCTCCTGTGCTCACAGGTTCCTGCACAGCCTAGGCCCCTGCCCAATGTACACACTTTGAGAAGGAAGCATCTTAGGGCTGACTTCCAGGCGTGCATTTGTGCAATCTAGAGAGTTTTGGCCTTAGCCACACATCCCCCACTCCCAGCACACTGGTTTGGAACCTCTCAAAGCGACTTATACATTCTGCCACAAGCACTGTGGTCATTTCTTTGCTTTCTCTTTTCTTTATGGTTATTTCTGTTCTTGCTTTGGTCCCTGTTCCTCACCTGTTACTCCTTGAAAGCAGGGACATTTTGCTCAACACTTTCATCTGAATTATGTGTGTGTGTCCTGCAGGTATGTGACAGGACACATCTGGGCCTGTCCCCCAAGTGAAGGAGACGACTACATCTTCCATTGCCACCCCCCTGATCAAAAAATCCCAAAACCGAAGCGCCTGCAAGAGTGGTACAAAAAGATGCTGGACAAAGCTTTTGCAGAGCGGATCATCCATGACTACAAGGTACCCGTGCTTGCTGAAGGAGGGCGTGCAGTGGCTTTGTCACCACTAATTTACGTGTGTCTTCCTCTCACACTCACATATGCTAGAATTATATTCACCTATGAGGATTATAAAGCAAAAAAAGGGGGGGTATGAGATGAAAATGTAGAATTATCTTCTCTGTAGTCTATCAAGATTTTTAGTTGACAGTCTGAAAGCAGTGCTTTTGTGTTACTTGTGTAAATTGGCTGACTGTGGCCATTGTACACCAAGGCTGCACCGAGATCCTCTTCAGTGTCATGGTCCCGCTCTGCACCCTCCTCAGGAGCTTCACTTGAGTCCCCTGTATCACTGCTATGCTTTCTTCACTCTCCAGGACATTTTCAAACAAGCAACTGAAGACAGGCTTACCAGTGCCAAGGAACTGCCCTATTTTGAGGGTGACTTCTGGCCCAATGTGTTGGAGGAGAGCATTAAGGAGCTAGAACAAGAAGAAGAAGAGAGGAAGAAGGAAGAGAGCACTGCGGCCAGTGAAACCACAGAGGTAAAGGCCCCATGTCCCCACTCCCACCCCTCACGGAATGTCTGGTGGCCCCAGATATGTGCGCTGAAGGACGAGTTATGACAGGTTGGAGAGTGAACTTGTGCTGTTGAGTTCATTGGATATGGCCTTCATTTTTGTGGTGAGGTAGCATAACCCCACCTTGTCACCATGTCTGACAGGTTTGGGGCCTAGGAGCACAGTCCACATTGGTTACTGAATGGGTTGAAATGTGGGCACTGGAAACCCATCACCTAATAGAACGGGACAGGAGGTGCTTGCTCCAGCATCTCTGGGCAGAACAGAAATGGCCAAGACACAGAAAGATGAGAGAGGTGGGCATCCTGCCAGGGAGCCCAGGACAGAGACAGAGACACAGATGCATCACAGCCAGGGGCCAATTTAAAAAGTACTTTACGCTCTGGCCAGTTTGGCTCAGCGAGTCCTGGGTTCGGTTTCCGCTAAGGGCACGTACCTCGGTTGCAGTTTGTCCTCAGCCCCAGTTGGGGTCATGTGGGTGGCAACCAGTCAATGTGTCTCTCTCACACTGATGTTTCTCTCTCTCACTCTTCCTCCCTCTCTCCCTGGGATCCACTGTATCTGAAGATAAATGCAAAAATGTCCTTGAGTGAGGATTTTTTTAAAAAGTACTTTACACACACACCCACTGCTCTCCTGTGGTGTTCACACTCGTGCATTCACTCTGTTTCCTAAGTCCCTGCTGTGCACAGGTATGGGCCTGAGCAGTACAGTGAGAACTAAGGAAACACCATCCCAGCCCTTGAGGGGTATACAGTCGTCCCTCGTTTATCGTAGTTAATTCGTTCCAGACTCTAGCAGTTGCACCTGGGGTTGAAGGATTCCTGGGGTGCTCGAATACACAGGCCTACGGTCCATATGTACAGTAATTTTAATTATAATACAGGGGTGTATAATTGACTCAGACAACTGAGCGCACGCCCTATCATTTTCACTGTCTCAATCAACTTTTTAATGAATATATTTGAAAAAAACGTGATAGAGTGAAGCCATGAAAGTTGAAGCACGAAGTGGCAAGGGCGACTATATGTTCTAGTAGGAGAAACAGAAACGCATGCCCAGCACACTCTGAGGTAGTGGTGAAAGCTGTGGAGAAAAGGAAGCACAGGGAAGAGGAGGGATGGGGGCACTTCCGGGAAGGGCAGAGAGAAGGGGTTTGTTGGGGCAGAGGCATCTGAGCAGAGACTAACCTGATGAGAAGGAACCCACAGGATCCTGGAGAGAAAGAGCTTCAAGCAGGAAGAGGAGAGACATAGGCATCAAAGTTGTGAGCAAGTGTGCCATGCTTTGGGGTGTCAAGTAAGACATGGTGGTTTCAGTTTGGCTTGTAGCTGTACAGGCTGTGAGAGAGATGCTGTGTATTTTGAGAGTCGCAACCCCAGAATTTGGGGTGGATTTTTGTGGCATGTAAGGAAAATCCTGGGTCAAGGCTGCCTGCTATCTGTTGCTGCCTCTACCTGACAGATGAGAAGAGGGAGAGCATATTTGGGGGAAGAAGTCAAGAATTGGCTGCAGACATGTTCATGTCGAAATGTCTATAAACATCCAAGGGGAGCCCTGGCTGGTTTGCCTCACCGGTTAGAGTGTCACCTGCAGACCAAAGGGTAGTGGGTTCGATTCCCAGTCCAGGACATGTACCTGGGTTGCAGGTGCTATCCCTGGCCCTAGTTGGAGTCGTGCAGGAGGAACCAATTGATGTGTGTCTCTCACATCGATGTTTTTCCCTTCCTCTGCCTCTCCCTCCCAGTCTAAAAATCAATGGGAAAACATCCTTGGCTGAGGATTAACAACAACAACAACAAAAATCCAAGGGGAGCTATGCAAGCCTGGGGCCCTCACAGGTGCACTTTGGGGGCTATGTGGGGCTGGCATTTAAAACCAGGGGTTGCTTAGTGGCTGCTATGTACCAGGAAAGGTGTGCTTCACCAGTAGGTCTCACACTCAACTAACCTTAGAAGAGTGTGCCTGACTTTAGCAGAAATTCAGAGTCAGTGGGAGAAGGACCAGAGCTGATCTGTGAACTCGAGGTCCTCCTATGTGTCCTCCACTGCCAAACACCTCTGGATGGGAGGTGGTCTAAGTCAGAATGTGCATCCCAAGTTGTAGAGGACTGTGGGAGGGTTATGGCAGGGGGAGGAGAGTCTGCCTTGACGTTGGAGATCCCATTAGAGAGGAACTTTATGCAGGGGAGCAATGCAGGCCCCAATCAATAGGTCCTGTCCAAGCCCTGGCCTGTTTGGCTCAGAGGTTAGAGCGGTCCAGGGACCACATGCCTGCCTCTGGCCTGGTGGTGGTGGGGTTTTCTGGGAGATAGAAATAGTCAAGGGCTGGCACCTGAGCTGGCAATTGCTAACCATGGACTCGCATGTGGTGGAGAGCACAGGACGTGAAGGTGAGGGATGGAGACGCCATTCTGTGTGTCTAGTTTACATAACTAAGGATTGGCTTAGGTATGGACAAAACTTGTGATGGAATACTGCTTTGCCATTAAGTGGTCTTTGCCCTGCCAGTGTAGATCAGTGGTTACATCATTAACCCAAGGACTGAAGGATGTCGGGTTCAGTTCCTGATCAAAGGCATGTACCTGGGTTGCAGGTTTGATCCCCAGCTCCTGGTCAGGGTGTGCATGGGAAGCAACTAATCAATGTGTCTCTCACATCAATGTCACCTCATCCACGTAGTCTCCTTCTGTTCTCTCTAAAAATCAATGGAAAAAATATCCTCAGGTGAGGCTTAACCAAAAAAAAAAAAATGGTCTTCAGTGAGAGAAATGGGAAGATGCTTGCCATAGTGGGGAAGAAACAGGATGCAACCTCAACTCACGTGTGTAACCCCAACTTTGTAAAGAAAAATACACAAAGTAAATATGCATAGCTGCTATTGCTTTGGTGGCATATTATTTGTTATTTGGCTACATTTTCTAAACTGTACAGTGAATTTATTTCATAACTTTTAACATATAGGCTTTATGTGTTAGAATAAAGGCTTACAGAAAACTTGAGAGGATGGTACAGAGTTGTGTGTATTTTAGTACCAGTTTCTCCTGCTGGCATCTTACATTGATGTGTTGCATTTGTTACAGTTGCTGAACCAATATTGATACATCATTGTTAACCAGAGTCCAAAGTTCATTCAGTGTCCTTTTCTGATCTGGGTTTACATTACATCCCACTGTCAAGACCCCTTGGTCCCCTCCTGGCTCTTTCTCAGATGTGCCTCGGAGGTGGTGGTAGAGGTAGAGGTTTGTAACTTACTTCCCCTAGAGTGACACTCCTTTCAGCTGTGTGTGTGTCTGCCTCCCCCCAGCCCCTCTTCCTCTCCCTCCCTCTTTCTCCTTCTCTCGCCCTCTCTCCCCTTGTTAGAAACTAGGTCCTTCGAACCAGACCAAGTGAGTGTTCCTGCCTTGAAACCTAAATGACTAAGAGCCTGAGTTCTTCCCAGAGTAGGAGTATTTTAACTGATCAGCAGAACCCCTTACACTTAAGCCAAGTGCAGCACTAATGGTAGTTTGAGGCTTAGAGAATGGGAACAGGATATCAAGGAGATGTCCTACGTTCTTGCGGCCTTGCTTGGGATCTGGAGAGGCTACTTTCAAAACCCTGCTTTTGTCCTTGCAGCAGCTTCTTTTTTAGCACCTTTCCCGTTTCTCTCACACGTGGTGAATGGTTGGAGCCTTTCACAAGGCAAAGAATAAGCCAGTGGGCATGCAGGATATGCCATGGAGCTGCAGGTATCTAGTGGAATGATGTGGAACAATGTAAAATTGCTTCCTCTCCCTCATTCATTATATTTTAAATTAGCATCCCAGGTGTGTTCTTCCCTCAAGACGTAACGTGATCTGTGGCCTTCTTGGCACAGGCCATACTTGCTCTATATTTATCTATCACCACTGTGCCCATTGGGATTTTGGCTGAGTGCATAGGCCCTGCTTCTCCATCCTCATCATTTTTCCCCCAGCAGTTTCTCTGAAGGCAGCAATGTGTTTATAGCCCATACCGGTAGGGGTCTGCCCGGTGGTGCTTCCTAGAGTCCCCAGGGCTTGGAGCTGGGAGTCCTGACTGGATACTGGACCTGGAGGAGGAGGCTGGGCTTGTCTGACAACTCTGCATGTTGTTGCAGGGCAGCCAGGGTGACAGCAAGAATGCCAAGAAAAAGAACAACAAGAAAACCAACAAGAATAAAAGCAGTATCAGCCGGGCCAACAAGAAGAAACCCAGTATGCCCAACGTGTCCAACGACTTGTCCCAGAAGCTCTATGCCACCATGGAGAAACACAAAGAGGTGAAATGCAGGGCAGGCTGCAGAGCCCAGCACTTGTGCTCCTCTGGGCCAAGATGAAGGAGGGTGGGGGTTGCTGACGAAGCCACAACCCTGCCCCTGGCCAAGAGAAGGGAGAAGGCATGGTGGCATTCATCTGGTGCTTCCCACTATATGGGAAGACCAGCCCCTAGACAGCAAAGTTGGCTAGTTGGGTAACATCACCAAGTCATTTTATCCCGAGGGAGTTGGGCCTTTGACATACACCTCAGTTCTGCAGGCTGGGGTAGCCTGGGACCCTCCAGAGGCAGTTCTTCTCAGTACCTCTCTCTGTGGGCTGACATACTCCTTCTGTTCTTCCTGCAGGTCTTCTTTGTGATCCACCTCCATGCTGGGCCTGTCATCAATACGCTGCCCCCTATTGTTGACCCAGACCCCCTGCTCAGCTGCGACCTCATGGATGGGCGCGATGCTTTCCTCACCCTTGCCAGGGATAAGCACTGGGAGTTCTCCTCCCTAAGGCGGTCCAAGTGGTCCACGCTGTGCATGCTAGTGGAGTTGCACACCCAGGGCCAGGACCGCTTTGTCTACACCTGCAATGAGTGCAAACACCACGTGGAGACACGCTGGCATTGCACCGTGTGCGAGGTAAGCCCGTACCTCCCTCCCTGTGTGTGTGCTCTGACAGAACTTCTGGCAGAGTTGGTGTGGTCCACAAGTCTAGGGTCCCCTTGGCTGCTCCCCAGTCCTTTTCGGTCTATGCGTTTGCGTTTTAGGTTGAACTAATATATTAGTTGGCATTTCCTGGGGCGGGGGGAGGGGGAAGACCATTGGTTCTTCACAGTCTCCCTTCACAGACCATGATCTAGTCCTGACCAAACTGAACATGACAGTGAGACCATTGACCTGTGTACAGGGCCCACTTGACCCTTGGCAGGACAGGCTGGCCTTCCTGGAATTCAGCGAGCACTGACTTGTCCAGATGAGGAGACGATCACAGGCACTTGTTATTTTATTTCCTGTGTTTCATTAACCCTGGCTCTGTGTCAGCCATGTCTATAGTCCTGTGGTGCCAGAGCAGGAGTATGGAGAAAGTGGGAGAGATGCTGGCAGTGTTTTGGTCCCGCCAGGGCTCTGTCTGGTTTCCCATCCCTGTTATCAGCTTGGGTCCCTATGGTTGGAGGTCTGGTAACCCTTGTTTCTTGTCCTGGTCGGAACCTCTTGGCCACACCACACTGGCTCCTTCTTGCAGAGGTCTTGGCCCATGTGTGAAGGGCAGGGTCTGTCTCTTGCACAGACAAGTCCCTCACATGGAGTGAGTTAGGCTATTGTGGGTCCTCCATCTTCCCCCTGCAGTCATAGACTCCCTCCCAGTCCTCGCCTTGCCTGCCAGTCTTGGTCTCCAGGATGGTCCCCACAGTCATGGGCCCTACAGGACTCACTCTGTAATCTCTGAGGGGAAGAGCGGGGCCTTTGTAATGCCCTTGTCTTTACTTCCTGCTTTTTCCAGCCTCCTCTTGTTCTCCCTCTCATTTCCTACAGCCAGGATTTTCATATCCTTTCTATGAAAAGGTTATCAGTCCTGGCCATAGGCTCCATTCTCCACTCTAGCACCTATGTCTCAGTCTCTAGATGTAGGTGGCTTTTAGAAATCTGGGGAGGGATATACAGGGCCTTCTTCCTGGTGAAGGCCTCTCAGCCCCAGTGCCCTGCTGGACCACCCTGCAGAGCTCTGGGGATGCGCTAAGGGCACCCAGTAACAGCCCTGGACAATGGAAGGCCAGTCTCTAGGAATTCAGGTCTGTGATACTTCAGACACTCACTCAGGTGGCACTTGGGAGGAAATGGGCACAGTGCCAGTCATTCCTTCACTGTCAGGCTTCCCAGGCTGGTGGGATGGCTAAGTGTGATTCCCGGGGTGCAGAGGAAGGAAGGAAAGGGGGACCAGTGTCCACCAATGTACTCGAAAGCCTTGGGTGGACATGAAGCCACACATCATATGCATGGGTTGGGAAGGTCCAGGGGGCCCCTGGAAGAGAGCTGGGTGAGGGATGGTAGATTGATTTTATGGTCTCTGGAGCCTTTTGGGCCATGAGGGAGTTCCCAGAAGTGGGTTCCTGGGGGTAGGTGGGATATCTGGTAATGCTGGGCTACATGCTGATGCTGGCCTGTCCCCTTTCCGTGTCTGCAGGACTATGACCTTTGCATCAACTGCTACAACACAAAGAGCCACACCCACAAGATGGTGAAGTGGGGGCTGGGCCTAGACGACGAGGGCGGCAGCCAGGGTGAGCCTCAGTCCAAGAGCCCCCAGGAGTCGCGGCGCCTGAGCATCCAGCGCTGCATCCAGTCCCTGGTGCACGCCTGCCAGTGCCGCAACGCCAACTGCTCGCTGCCGTCCTGCCAGAAGATGAAGCGGGTTGTGCAGCACACCAAGGGCTGCAAGCGCAAGACCAATGGAGGCTGCCCCGTGTGCAAGCAGCTCATCGCCCTTTGCTGCTACCATGCCAAACACTGCCAAGAAAACAAATGCCCTGTGCCCTTCTGCCTCAACATCAAACACAAGCTCCGCCAGCAGCAGATCCAGCACCGTCTGCAGCAAGCACAGCTCATGCGCAGGCGGATGGCTACCATGAACACCCGCAACGTGCCTCAACAGAGTCTGCCTTCCCCTACCTCAGCACCACCTGGGACCCCCACACAGCAGCCCAGCACACCCCAGACACCACAGCCCCCTACCCAGCCACAGCCCTCACCTGTGAGCATGTCACCAGCCAGCTTCTCCAGCGTGGCCCGAACTCAGCCCCCCACCACAGTGTCCACTGGGAAGCCTACCAACCAGGTGCCAGCCCCACCACCCCCTGCCCAGCCCCCACCTGCAGCGGTGGAGGCAGCCCGCCAGATTGAACGTGAGGCCCAGCAGCAGCAGCACCTGTACCGGGTGAACATCAACAACGGCATGCCCCCAGGGCGCACAGGCATGGTGACCCCTGTGAGCCAGATGGCCCCAGTGGGCTTAAATGTGCCCCGACCCAACCAGGTCAGTGGGCCTGTCATGCCCAACCTGCCCCCTGGGCAGTGGCAGCAGGCACCCATCCCCCAGCAACAGCCGATGCCTGGCATGCCCAGGCCCGTGATGTCTATGCAGGCTCAGCCAACTGTGGCCGGACCACGGATGCCCAATGTGCAGCCACCTCGGAGCATCTCACCTGGCGCCCTGCAGGACCTGCTGCGGACCCTGAAGTCTCCCAGCTCCCCGCAGCAGCAGCAGCAGGTGCTCAACATCCTCAAGTCAAACCCTCAGCTGATGGCAGCTTTCATCAAACAGCGCACGGCCAAGTACGTGGCCAGTCAGCCCGGTCTGCAACCCCAGCCCAGCCTCCAGGCCCAGCCTGGCCTACAGCCCCAGCCTGGCCTACACCAGCAGCCCAGCCTGCAGAACCTGAATGCCATGCAAACCAGTGGGCCACGGCCTGGTGTGCCTCCACAGCAGCAAGCGATGGGAGGCCTGAACCCCCAGGGCCAGGCCCTGAACATCATGAACCCAGGGCACAACCCTAGCATGGCAAGCATGAACCCGCAGTACAGAGAGATGTTGCGAAGGCAGCTGCTGCAGCAACAGCAGCAGCAGCAACAACAGCAACAGCAACAACAGCAGGGCAGTGCCGGCATGGCCGCAGGCATGGCAGGACATGGCCAGTTCCAGCAGCCTCAAGGACCTGGAGGCTATCCCCCGGCCATGCAGCAGCAGCGGATGCAGCAGCACCTGCCCATGCAGGGCAATTCTATGGGCCAGATGGCAGCTCAGATGGGACAGCTCGGCCAAATGGGGCAGCCCGGGCTGGGCGCAGACAGCACCCCCAATATCCAGCAAGCCCTGCAGCAGCGGATTCTGCAGCAGCAGCAGATGAAGCAGCAGATTGGGTCCCCAGGCCAGCCAAACCCCATGAGCCCCCAGCAGCACATGCTCTCAGGACAGCCACAGGCCTCGCACCTCCCTGGCCAGCAGATGGCCACATCCCTTAGTAGCCAGGTGCGATCTCCGGCCCCTGTCCAGTCTCCTCGGCCCCAGTCCCAGCCTCCACATTCCAGCCCATCACCACGGATACAGCCCCAGCCTTCACCACACCACGTCTCGCCCCAGACTGGTTCTCCCCACCCAGGACTTGCAGTCACCATGGCCAGCTCCATAGATCAGGGACACTTGGGGAACCCCGAACAGAGTGCAATGCTACCACAGCTGAATACCCCCAACAGGAGTGCGTTGTCCAGTGAGCTGTCCCTGGTCGGCGACACCACAGGAGACACCCTAGAAAAATTTGTGGAGGGTTTGTAGCATTGTGAGAGCATCATTTTTTCCCCTTTCATGTTCTTGGACCTTTTGTACTGAAATCCAGGCATCTAGGCTCTTTTTATTCCTAGATGGAACTGCTACTTCCAAGCCACGGAAGGGTAGATTGCTGTTTAAAGAAACAATACAAAGAATATATTTTTTTGTTAAAAACCAGTTGATTTAAATATCTGGTCTCTTTCTCTCTCTCTCTCTCTCTCTCTCTCTTTCTCTCTCTTTCTCTCTCTCTCTCTTTGTTTTAATTTTTTGTTTTTGTTTTTTTGTTTTGGGGGGAGGGGGGTTTTGTTTGGATTTTTTGTCATTGCTGGTGACTCATTGCCTTTTTTTAACGGGAAAAACAAGTTCATTATATCCATATTTTTTATTTGTATTTTCAAGACTTTAAACATTTATGTTTAAAAGTGAGAAGAAAAATAATATTCAGAAACTGATTCCTGAAATAATGCAAGCTTATAATGTATCCCGACAACTCTGATGTTGCGGGAAGATTTTTTCTATTGTGAACTCTGTGGGCGTTCTCCAAGTATTACCCCTGGACGATAGGAATTGGCTCCTGCGTGCACACATGTACACACCCACACACATCTATCTATACATACTGGCTTAAGCCAAACTCTTGTCTTGCAGATGTAGAAATTGTTGCTTTGTTTCTCTGATAAAACTGGTTTTAGACAAAAAATAGGGATGATCACTCTCTTAGACCATGCTAATGTTAATAGAGAAGAGCATTCTTTCTTCTATGTGAAACTTGAAATGAGGAAAAGCAATTCTAGTGTAAATCATGCAAGCGCTATAATTACTATAAATAAGAAAATTCAAGAAGATTCAATCACTGTATAGGATGGTAAAGTACCAACTCATTTCTTATATCATATTGTTAAATAAACTGTGTGCAACAGACAAAAAGGGTGGTCCTTCTTGAATTCATGTATATGGTATTAACACTTAGTGTTTGGGGTTTTTGTTAATGAAAATGCTGTTTTCAACATTGTATTTGGACTATGCATGTGTTTTTTTCCCCATTGTATATAAAGTACCGCTTAAAATTGATATAAATTACTGAAGTTTTTAACATGTATTCTGTTCTTTAAGATCCCTGTAAGAATGTTTAAGGTTTTTATTTATTTATATATATTTTTGGAGTCTGTTCTTTGTAAGACATGGTTCTGGTTGTTTGCCCTTAGAGGAGAGACAGGGGCCGAGGTCCTGGTAGTCATACAGGTGGCAGCCGGGCTCAGCCAAGACCTGGAAGGTTCTCTTTCCAGTGACCGAGACGTTCAGCTCAGTGATGGCTGTACACATTCAGTGTTTATGGGGGAACTTCACCCACAGAGTTAGGAACACAAATGGGTCAGAAAAAGTACTTTGCCTCCTGTCCATTGCCCTTGTCTTAGCTACCCCATCCCCAGCAACCAGAATAGGGAGGGTTCCTACATTTGTTTTCAGTCCGCTATTGATGCAACGGGTGCTCCAGGGACTAGAAGTGGTTTTTGGCCTCCCCCTGAAATTTTTTGTTTGATAGAGGAGGATGCCACCATGCAATATGTCCTTCCACAGTGTCCGGCATTGGGCTGGACAGACAGAGATTTCACATTTCATTTCCCACTCTAGAAACAGTGAGGTGCTGCCCCGGAGGCTGCTGAGGTGCAACAACTGTGGAGCCCTGGCCACTAGCCTATCTGTGCTATGGTGAGAATAGGCCTCCAGCTTCCAGGGACACTTGCACTCAGGCACCTGGTCCCACCCCTCCCCTCTGCATCCAGTTTCAGGTGACCTCATTGAGAGGCTGACAACTTGAGTTCCTGAGTGCTGTAAAATCACATCTGAGAGGCCCACTAGCACCAGGAGAATTGAAGCTAGTCCTCTAGACTACCCCCTTCCAGGGCACTGGTTAGCTGAGTTCTCTCTCTTTTATCCTTAATCTCTCAACCAGGAGTGGTCTAGATCAGGAGTTTTGGTGTTAAGTTTTGAAATCATGGCCCAGATAGCTTCCCCTTTAGCCCTGTATTTACAGAAATATTTTCAAAATACATGATTTAGGAATCTAAATTTGAGGAAACTTTCCAAGAAATTTGTTTTAGCACAAGAGCTTGCTTAGAGTGTTGGGTCTTACTTAGAATCTTGTAGATTAAGCTAGGTAAGAATAAGACCATCTAGCACCACCAACCAACCCCTGTCTTCACCCTTTCCAAAAGAGAATGTAAGGACATGGCCCTCCAGTGGCCATCTGGCCATCCCTGGTCAGCTTGCCCACTTCTCAACCCATGACCCTCTTTCTCCCCCAATGGGAAAGCCCTGACCCCATGTTCAGACAAGAAACAAGAAGGGGTGAACCATCTGGGGCCCTAGAGGAGCCGCTCCAGGCCCAAACTCTGGATGTGCAGCCCTTTAACAGTGGGAGGCATCTTTTTCAGGTGATCCTGGAATCCAAACCTACCGACCTCATCTTGGAATCCACGTCCCTGCAGTCCAGATGTCAAAGGATGCAGCTGAGGGTGTGGTCTGTGGGTGCCCATCCTGCGCTTGGCAAACGGAAATTTCTGGAAGCTGGAAATCCCAGATGCTGTGTCTCAATGCTGTATACTGAGGAAGAGAAGAAAACAGTCCTATATTTGTGATCAAAAAGAGGAAACTTGAAATGTGCTGGTGTTTATAATAAAAGCTGGTAAAACTGCTTGGATTCAAAGATGGTTCCAGTTGGCTAATGACCCTTAGAATTAGCTTAGCAGCCAGTCAGGGTAAGACTGAAAGGGCTTGGTTGAGTTTTTCTAGTGCGTGTGTTTGATTATGTTTTTGAGAATTTAGCACATTAAAAGGAATTGAATGCAACCTCTAGAAAACCTGAGGTGGAGAGGCTTGTATTTGTAAGATCTCAGGCTGAAGACACACAACTTTCTTTTTGATTACTGTAAAATGAAACCAAAGATTTTATTTAGGCCAAAAAGAGCTTTTAGCACTGCACGAGAAAATGGGCTACTCTGAAAAAGGAAAGTCCGTTGATGAAGGAGCTGAGTTCTAGAAGGTAGCCTTTGTGCCAACAGGAAGTTCTTCACTCAAGAACAGTGCTGGAAGTAGACACTGCAGCCATGTCACCTTAGCAAATGGATGTGCAGAAGAAGCATGTAGGAATGGCAACAAAGCCCACTTGGGATGGTAAAGCCATACTGTACCTTCCCAGGATGTCCCATGTTGATTCCACTGCATGACTTGGGTACATTCATTGTGCAAAGTCAAGAATAGGGAAGGATCAGTTATACCAAATTGGAGTGAATGTAGCACCCAGGCTAACAGGCTAGACTGAGGACATTTGGATGAGAAGGCAAATGGTGCTTTCAGTGTGCTCGCACCTAGGATTTACTAAGATCTACTGACCACAATATCACTGGAATTACTTTACGAAACTGAAAAATTCAAAGGATGCTGACAGCTTAGAACACCTTGGCTAAGAAAATGGTGGAGATATGTTTGAGGGGATTCAGAGGAGATTGGAGTAAGAGATCTCATCATAGGAAGCATGGGCCTGAGGCCATTCTGTGAGGCTGAGAGGTTGAGAAACAGTACTGACAGCGTGGTGGTAATTGGGCACCAGAGCCTTGGCCTTAAGTGAGCTCCCTAAATTCTGCTTTCTTGTCTGAATAGAAGATAATTATTCTGGGTAACAAGTGCCGTTGAGGTGCATTATCGGCCCTGGCCGGTTTGGCTCAGGGACGATTAGCGTGTCAGCCCGCGGATCGAAGGGTTGTGGGTTTGATTCCCGGTCAAGGGCACCAGCCCCTGTCCGGGTGATGCAGGAGGCAACCAATCGATGTGTGTGTCTCTCCTTCCCTCCCTTTCACTCTATCTAAAAATCAATGGAAAAATATCCTCAGGTGAGGATTAACAAAAATAAAAATACATAAAAATTTAAAAAGTGCATTATCAATTCTTTTGCCCTGGCCATGAGGTAAGAGAATGGAGGCAGTACCTTGCCTGAGGTCATGAGCAGTGAGGACAGTTGGCGCGAGCCATGTTCCTGTGCCCAAAAGGAGCTTTTCCTCCTGGCCTTGAAAACTGTCCTACATGCCTGCCTCCCCTTCCTTATTACACCATGAACCCATTTTGGGGGTACCTTGGGGACATGGGAACATTACATTATAACCCCTTAAAAATCACAGACAGTAAATGGTAACTAAGTCTTTACAAAGGACTCTGTGTCTAGTGCCACTGGTTCACATTGGCATCACAGAAAAAGAAATGTTTGGCAGTGCTTGTCAGCCCTAGTGTACACAGCTTTAAACTCCCAGTGTAGATGACTTAACCCACCTCCCATCCAACGCCTGGAGAGGGCTGTGGCTAAAATGGACTTTATCATCTGATCCTGGGTCTCTAGGGCTCTGGCCAGCAACAAGGAAGCCTCTTTCAAATTGATTTAAAATAATAACTACTTAAGCGTATCGATGAAGTTCAAACTAAAAGATCCTCAAGGGAGGTAGTGGTGTTTACAGAATATTCTAAGTGAGGGTCCAGTAAAATGCCCAGAGAGGACAGTTTTGGAAAGAACAGTGAGCTATGTGCCCAGACTCATGTACCTGGCATGTTCCCCTCTTCTGTCAGAATGAGCAAGACTGCCAGGCTCCCTGAACCAGGACCCTTCCTTGTCCTCTCTGACCTCACCCAGAACCCCTCACATCTGGGCACAAGTTGGGGGCCCACAGAAGAGCGAAGGTTATTTCATGTGCTGCTGCACAAGGAGTGGCAGGAGATCTGATGAAGGGAGTCTTGGGGACCATAGATAAGAAATGTAGAGAAAGGGCAGGGAAGCAAAATAGGTCGGGGGCCATACAGGAAGCATTCAGAGTCAACAGGTTCAGCAGCCAGAAAACTGGTTGAGTGCAGGCAGAAGTGCGGAGAACTCTCTGGGTTTTGAGGGAGGCCCATCCTCACTGTTGCTGACCCTCTAGACCAGCGGTTCTCAACCTGTGGGTCACGACCCCTTTGGGGGTCGAACAGCCCTTTCACAGAGGTCACCTAAGACCATCGGAAAACATATTTCTGATGGTCTTAGGAACAAAGACACCACTTCTCTATCCATCTCCAGGCAGGTCCGCCCACATGCAGATACGCCCACATACGAGTACCCAGCGTGATGGCATACATCATGGCGCCAACCCCATCAC